TATGCTCTAAAATGTTTCTAAGATATGTGATATGCTTACCTTATCAATATTCTTTCGATATGCTCACCTAATTTTTTCAAAGGTAACAAACATGTATAAGGATTTAGACTTACGCGCGTATAAAAAACGCGACAGTGCATGGAAAGCAGCCCTTTACAATAGACTCGCGTACACGCGCGAATGCCACGAGAGTAGAGAAAACGTACTGCTGTGATGTGTATGATAATCATAGGCTTTTTTTGTCGGACAAGTATTTGACGATTAAAAACAGCGCGGTTCCTCTCATAATTTAATCCTTCTGCTTAAGACATGCGAAAAGCCAACAGCTACAGCGCCATAGTCAAACTTGCAATTTAGGATCATTTTTGGTTGTTTATTGTTTAATGTTTGTATATGAGCACGAAACATGCTGGAATCTTTAGCTACTTAGGACAAGCATTTGAGCATTAAAACAGGGTGGTTATCCATATCAAAATATTTGACATCATAACCAAAACATGGTTATATTGTTTAATGTTTGTATATGAGCACGAAACATGCTTGCAACTTTACATAGGACCCGAAATAGACCATTTAACCTGCGTGGTTATCCATATCAAAATATTTGACATCATAACCAAAGCATGGTTATATTGTTTAATGTTTGTATATGAGCACGAAGCGTGCTTGCAACTTTACATATATAAGACCCGAAATAGACCATTTAACTTGCGTGGTTATCCATATCAAAATATTTGACATTATAACCAAAGCATGGTTATATTGTAATGTTTGTATATGAGCACGAAGCATGCTTGCAACTTTACATAGGACCCGAAATAGACCATTTAACCAGCGTGGTTATCCATATCAAAATATTTGACATCATAACCAAAGCATAGTTATATTGTTTCTTAAAATCTTTCTTCTTCAGTGATTACATATAATTTAAAACTACCGCTTTATCACCCACCATTAGTGTCCATTCTCCTTCTTGCACAACGTCATCTTTCTTTTCAATTGGCAGTTCACAACATTTATCTTGTCTCTGCATGTAGTTGTATCCAACACATTTTGCTTCCTTTTGGCAGAGTTCGTAACATTCTATCGAGACAATCGCTGAGTTGATGGTATGACTTGATATGATTTCAACTGGATTTAAAGGCGGCGCGTTAAAAGTTTCAAATATGGTTGGGAAATGTCGAGGGAAAAATTTCTTTCAAAGTTTAAACAATATATATAGGATCACGTCTAATTTAATACATGGCAAAACATTCTTTTAAATGTATTTACATATAGGCTAGACGTAGTCTCTAATGATATTATGAACTGCCGGACAACAGTACGATCTGTGAAGTGATACATCCAATTCTATAATCATAGCATGAGAATAACGTTTTTATTTTAAACATGGTCACATATCACCATCCACCAACTTCGCTTTCTCAAACATTCGGGATAACGTGTTATCGGCAAAGCAGGTGAGAAGAAAAATACATTTTTGAGCCGTTATTCATGTATGTAATGTTCATTAATCAATTAAATAATGACATGCATTTATAAAGAATTTGATTGTTTAGTTTCATATTCCCTTTCCAAAGTGATATTAAAAAAATTCTCTGAATAAGTACACTGTAATCTTTGAGAGGCACGTCATTATGTCAGTACGTGAATTATGTCAGATCAGATTTGCGCCTTATTGCTCCTTCCTTTATACGATATAAACGCACGCGCTACCATACAATGAACGAGAAATACGGCCCCTCGAGCAATATACATAAAGTCTCTAACACTTTTGATATACAATCTGAGTTCATTGATTGCTGCATTGAAGGTCAAAGCTTCGTTGCTGGCTGTCATTTTTTATTATAAAATAACATGTATATAACGCGTGTTCTGATTGGTTGAAGCCCGTGTTTGGATCAGGCCATCCAAACACGGAAATTTCGCGGGAATTCAAAAACAATTTTATTCGCGCGCTTTTCTTAACTCTCGCAACATTAAGTAATTGTATAATAAACCACGATTTCGATTTTTATGGGTTATAGCGATTAAACTATGAATCCATAATCTGTTGCCAGGCAACAAAAAACCACGTGATTGATTTCGACCAATCGCGTGATTAGATTTAGGTCAGTGCACGAAGTTTGAATATTAACATGTGATAATGAGTGTATGAGAGGTTAAGAGTTTCATGACAGCATCATATGGCATAACCCGATTCAGTAGTTTTAAAATTGATTACAATGTGAAATCATGCAAGTTTATCTTCGTTTTTATCTCAGATCTCGTGGTTTACCTGAAATCAAAATGTTTCTTTTTCTCTTTTCTTCCTCTCTTTTCGCCTAATAAGAGAGTGATCTTAGCATATTGGAGTAAATTTAGCATATATGTTAGAGTGAATTCTAGCATATGCGTGAAGTAGGTTAAAGTAGTATTCGTGATGATAATTATTATGAACTCATTACGGGATAGAAACAAATTTGTTGCCTGGGTTGTGTTTTAAGCTGCGTTAAAGGTTTAAGGCCGACATCTGCATGCTTCCTTCGTAACGGTCAGTTATTTTTGTGTTTTGTTGACTATTTAATATAACGTTAACTGGGTAAATTATAGGTATATATAACAGTAACGACGAATATATAACTAATTTTACTTGGCATGTATACTGTAAACTTCGTAGGGCCTATGTCGCTGTATATCAAATATTATTTTTTACATTTATCAAATTTATCAAAATACAATTATAATCAAATTTTACTTAAAATGTACCATAATTTTTGGTATATATGTTTTCTTCAAAGTGAAGATAGTTTGTTTAAATACTCAAAGTCTTAATTGAGGATAATGCAATATTCACTATTTAGCGTATAGTAATTTATTCCGACCATAGACAAATAAAACACATGCATGTCTTTTAGATTATGGCCCGATTGTTGGATTAAACTAACGCTACATACAAGTAGAGTGGGGAGGGTTAGGAAGTCAGAGAATAAGACAATTTATTAAAATTTTGAAACAAAAAGGGAAATACCCTGGGAACGAGGTTGGATTATCAGTCGTCAACCGGGTGTGGCGTGTACGCTCATCGCGTCTGCGTTGTGTTTTTTCTGCTCTCGCTAAATAAGGTTTCAATTACTTACTTATTACTTATATTTATTTGTATATTGAATTATTAAGTTATGGCAGATTAGACAGCTCGCAATATTGCAAATGGCACAAATGATATTAGAATCTTTTTTCATCAGTACATCATTACAGCTTTACACCCACTTTTCATCACTACATAATTACAGCTTTATCACCCACCATTACTATCCATTCTACTTCTTTCGTTATCGCAACGTGATTTCTCTTCAGATGTTGGCCAGTTGGCATTTCACAACATTGATCGTCTCTCTGTAGTTAAACCCAACTCATTGGGCTCTTTCCGGCAGAGTTCGTAACACTCTATCGGGACAATCCTTGAGTTCACAGTATGATTTAATTGATATGATTTCATATGAGCGTGAAGTGGGTCTTTTTTAGTGGGAGCGCCTAAATTCCCTTCAAGTAGCAAATATGGTTGGGAAATGTCGAGGGGAAAATCTCTTTCAAACCGTAGTATCACGTCTGATTTAAGACATGGCAAAACATTCTTTGAAATGAATACATAGGCTAGATGTAGTCCGTAGTCGTCTCTAATGATTTGTGAATCATGGGAGAACAGTTCTAGCTGTGGTGTGATACATGCAATTTTAATCATCAGCAAGAATAAATAATTTTTTATCTTAATTAAACATGGTCGCGTATCACCAACTTCGCTTTCTAAAACTTTCGTAATAATTAACGTATTATCCCAAACGTGTTATGAAACCCGGTGAAAGGAAAAGTGAATTCTTGAGCCGTTCATACATTATTCATGCATGTAATGTTCTTAATGGTAATTGCACTGAGTGGAGTGCAATTTCAAATGGAGTTGAATCAAACTTGTGTGATTTTGTAATAATGCGTTTGATTTCACACCAAAATTCCACGACACGAAGTGCAAATTCCACGACACGAAGTGCAAATTCCACTTTAATATATTCATTTTGAAATCATACAAAAAAATAAACAAATTCAAAACTATTTATTGGCTGAAAGAACCGTAAACGGTGTAAAATGCGAGTAATTTTCATCTACTTTTGTCAAGAAATTTTGCGGAGCATTTAAATAATTCAAAATAATAAAATTTCGTTCCATTTTCTCCTGTAATTTGATTGGATAGTTGCACTGAAATACTAAATCTGATTTGTTATTGTGGTGCAGAGCTTCAATCCTATTGGCTTATAAATGATGTGATTAGTGCTCAAAAATAGTGCGATTTGGGAATCAATCACACTATTTTTAACCAATTAGATTGCAAGAAACACCACTGATTTCAAAATGAATATAATAAATTATTAAATTGTTTAGCTTTGAATAATTAATACACTTGCTTTTATCGACATCAAGCTTTATCTTCGGGAGGCACATCATTATGTACAGACCAAGAATCTTCTTCACTGACTTCACATCACTATACGGTATGTATAAATCAAAAACTTTTAAACAGCGTAAGCTCGCATTTGTGCAGTAAATATGTCCGTGAATTAGATTTTTTTTAGCTACAAAAAATCCTTGAATCTACTACGATTGCAATTGCATTGTTTTTCTCTTGTTGACATCTTGAAGTAGTAACTTTGTTTTAAACATGAACTATGTATTATTAAAGTAATTTAGCTTGTAGGTACACCACGTAAGTATTTAATCCTGCAAAGTTTTTGGTCCATCAACCCGGGCCTTCATCAGTGCAATTACCAGTGAATGCACATTTAGGTAATTGTATTGATGAAGGCCCTGGTTAACAGACCGAAAGCTTTGCTGTATTAAATACTTACGTGGTGTACCTACAAGCTAAATTGCTTATTGATGTTACCATGCAAACATACAATAATATTATATATTATTATATTATTATATTACTATTTCTACATCATTATAGTTTGATATATAACGTGCTCGAAAACATCCAAAACAAAGTAATGTTTGTTCGTAATGGTGGTGCAGGAATACATTAAAACTGACTTGGACGAATCTTCATCTCCGTCATTTTCATTGAACGATTATGCCACTTGTTCCATTTTATCCCACTGTTATATGTCTCACCTGCACCCAGGTACAGGCCATTGAGGTTGGATTGATGACCGTTATTGTACCACCAAGCACCTTTGAACATCGAAGCAAAATTCTTATCTGGTCGAACATCATTGTCGCTATCGTTGGTACTGAACTTCATTCCGTTGTGCCAAAGAAGGGAATCACTTGCGGTTCCTTTCATGAGAATAAACAAAAAAGTAATAATTTCAATTTTTAAGTTCACTATTTTTATGTTTAATATACTCCTTCAGGATGTACCATATTAGTGATATTACTGTTACATCATTTATAAAAAAAATTTAAACTAGATCGGCTTTTGATTTCATTTCAGCCAATCTTTGGTTGAATGTTTACATGTAAAATTAAACTTAAAAGCCCGTTTTCATGAATAATATTTTTTAATTTCTGGGAACAGGACTTGAAAATGTGTTTTGATTTCTTCTATATCACTCTTGAGAAAAACTGTTCGCTTTATTGGTTTTGCTACTCAGGATAACTCATATACCATGATACGGTACACGTGAACTACGGTCTCCCATGATGGTTTGCTCATTGATTATCGGGGAATATTCATCTCGACTTCGTCGCGGTGATTACTCCCCGATAATCAGCTCGCCTTCGACGAATAATTGTTTGATATCAAGCGTCGAACTCAGACTGACTCGTCTTAATATAAATACAGATAGCCTTTACAAAATTTATCTGGCGTGTGTTTTACCTGAATAATGGCTAATATTCAATCTGTATTTGTCTGAATCATCAGCCACACAAAACTTTCCATATTTAGCGTAACGTTTAGTGCCATTGAAATCCATCAAATCAACTCTTAGAACGTTTTGGCCAGATTTCGTCAAACGATGTATTTTATCAAGGCCCAACCAGAACTCGCCGCTCAAATTACCAAAGCCTGCTTTATAGTCTGACCATCCAAGGTAAAAATCTTGACTTCCATCTTTTCTTCTTTGGAACATGGTCCAGCCACCTCCGTCTGTGCTCATATCACATCTGACTTGAAACGATCCCTGGCCGTCCGGATTGATAGTGTAAACACCATCTTGTCTTATTCCTTCGTTGTAAAGATAGGCGCAGCTGGTAGCTATGCAATTGCGAAATGTGAAAGAAATATTAAAAATATTGCAGAATAGGAACATGATCTTTCAAAAGGTTATACATCACATTTTCACATTGTATGCATCATTGCATGTTATTTGTAAAGAGTTATTTAGTTGATAAGGCGAGATATATCTATTTACATTCATAATTATGATCTTACGGCAATACCTGAATTCAAAATCTCACGTTTTCTCTTTTCCTCATCAATCTTTGCCTGGAAGAGAATGATTAAATCACGGTTTCGCTCTTGTTACTGTGACACACGTTATTTGTTAATATGAATATAATTGAAAAAATTGAGGAAGCCCAAACTGTGGCTGAGCTTACAGATTTCGAAAATCTCTATAATTTGACTGATATGGAAAGGGATCTCCTGTTTGAGAAGAAGATAGAGATTATGGGTCGTTTACTCCTGTGGGTAATGGAGTGTTCATAAAGTGATGAACTGTTAGTTTTATAGTTAACAGACGGTTGATCTTAATGACTCATGAAACAATTATATTCCTCAGAGTCGATTTCGTTGCGCAATGTGATTGGCTGCTAGATTCCTGTTTTTTTACACTCAATTTTGAATATGCATAATGAGATCTTTAAGCAGCCGAGAAATTTATTTTTGAATGCAAATTACTGTTTGTACAAAATGTCATATTGCTACTTAATCATGAACTAAATTTAAACCCCGTTCACACTACAGTCAATTTATTGTCACGGCACGGCTAAAATGGATACGCGTACTTAATTTTATTAGTGTTCACGCTAACAATAAAGCTGGTTTTGAATCAATCAAAACCTCCGACAAGTTTTCAAGTTGTGCAATTCAACAAAATGAAAAACGAAAGACTACGAAGAATTACGCTCTAAACATTAACACGTTAACCGGCTTACGTATAACTAACTTTCCTCCTTAAATACTAGTTTTTCTTCAGTTAACGTTGTCTGAATTGTCGCGATCATTTAATCGTGATTAAAACTCCTTCTCAATTGACCATATGTCACTCTGTCGTGTACGAAAAATAATTTTGGGAGAAGCAAAACTTAAATATCTCTGCAAATATTTCGGCTAATGACCCCGAAATACGACCAAACGGCAGCGCTTGAAAAGATTATGTAAATAGTATATTCAAACCAGAGGATAGTTATAAACTGCATTTGTATTATATAATTATAAGTTAAAACAAGATTCAAAACAATAGATTGCTTTTTATCTCAATTTAATCACCCATAGTAACCGTATACTTTAGAAATTCCGCTGTTTCTTGTTCTCTGTTGTCTTCAAAATGTCACAATTATCATATTATCATTCTTGTTATAATTTCGAGTAATTTATGGGGAAGGATGTGCAAAGGAATCGGAGAAATAGCGTTTTATAAGTTCTAAGCGATAATTGTTGCTAAGTGCGTGCTTACTGCGTGCGTGCTCGGAATGTTGTCATGCGGTTATTGATGTCAACATGCCAACATACAAATATTTTATTTTTAAAAATAATATTTTTATTTTCACTTTTGCCGTAAACGTCAAACTAAAGGTCTCTAATTTTATTAAAATATCGGCGGACCCTTAAAGGCCCACAAAGACACATGACGCCATGGGACAAAGCGCGACGCAAAATTTTCTGCTTTCAGAAGCATCTATAGATCTATTGCCACAAAGAAGTCAAATTGTGTTGTCGTTAAGTAATACACAAGAGTATTAGCCCAATAAGAAGAGCGCAAAGAATCGGAGAAATAGCGCTTTATAAGTTCTAAGCGATAATTGTTGCTAAGTGCGTGCTTACTGCGTGCGTGCTCGGAATGTTGTCATGCTGTTATTGTCATGTCAACATGCAAACAGTCATACAAAATTATTATTTTTAAAACAGTTGAAAAAAGCAAAACATCCAGCGCATTACTGTCCATACCGCTATTTATAGGTGTAAAAATGTGATAATTTATGATGAATTGATCATTCCTTTTGCATACACCCTCAGCCGTTCAAGCATTAAATTTTATACGGCAAATGTGAAACATATACGGCAAAGCTGAATTTGCTGCTTTTCTAAATACATCAGAAATAGCCTATTGGCCATTGCTTTCTTACATTACTGCCGAACATCACAATTTTTATACAGAACGTTTGTAATTTAGCGAAATTGCCGCACACTTAAAGATAGTGGAGTTAAAACACAAACTTTGTTAGCGGTTTGGCGTTTGCCGTAAACGTCAAACTAAAGGTCTCTAATTATATCAAAATATCGGCGGGCCCACACAGACACAGGACGCCATGGGACAACGCCCGACGCGAATTTTCTGTTTTCAGAAGCATCTATAGATCTATTGCCCCAAAGAAGTCAAATTGTGTTGTTGTTAAGTAATACACAAGAGTATTAGCGCAATAATATGATTGCGATAGATCGCTGCCAGTCAAGAACTGCTAAAAATAAATACTTTGCAGCACAATTTTGAAATTCAAAGTAGCTAAAAACCGGTACTATTAGCTCTAAACTTCTGAAAAAATGTTGAAACTATTTGTAGCACTTGCAGATATCTGCAGAAAACCATTGCGTGACTTGAAGGAACGCCGAATTTTTATCCATAACGGGATCGAGCCGAAGTGAAAAAAGTGTAATTATAACAACACATATGTCGACACTGAACGAACCGAGTCCGAGTCCTATTAAAACACACAACACGGTTGTTTCTGCAATTGTCATGTATACCTGCACATTCATTGAATTTTCTTTTTGTAAAGAATTACCAAACAGTTCGCGTATTTTAAGTGGGTAATCAGAAGGTTTGCAATTGACTTTGACTTTATACAATGAGAACTATTCGTAGGTATATTGTCTCTAACTTACAGTAAACATGGGAATATTTTTACTTACGTGTTTGATTATCACAAGATGGTTGAATTCGTGGTTTGTTTCTTCATCATAATCGGTTCTTGCCTTAACTGTTTTGTTATTGAGTTCACAGCGACCTTTATCTTCACCAGAGGTTTTGTAGTTGATTGACGCACATGATTCGTGCCGAGCGCAAAGCAAACCACATTCAAACTCGAACTCTGCTTGTTTTGTTTCGAAGACATGATTCGCCAAGTATTTTTGCTTATTTATTTGAAAAACGACTTGCTTTGAGCATTCGCCCAACACGAAAACGAGGAATGGAACAGCAAAGCTTAGAAAGACTCTCATTGCGGCAATTGTTTAAAACTCATAAAGTGATGAACTGTTAGTTTTATAGTTAACAGACGGTTGATCTTAATGAGTTATGAAGCAATTATATTCCTCAGAGACGATTTCGTTGCGCAATGTGATTGGCTGCTCGATTCATGTTTTTTTTACACTTAATTTCGAATGTGTATAATGAAATCTTTAAGCAGCCGAGAAATTTATTTTTGTATGCAAATTACTGTTTGTACAAAATGTCATATTGCTAAATTGCTAAATTTAAACCCTGTTCACACTGCAGTCAATTTACTGTCACGGCACGGCTAAAATGGATACGCGTACTTAATTTTATTAGTGTTCACGCTAACAATAAAACCGCAATGAGAGTCTTTCTAAGCTTTGCTGTTCCATTCCGCGTTTTCGTGTCGGGCGAATCTCAAAGCAAGTCGTTTTTCGAATAAATAACTCTTCCCAACAATTAAAATTGCTAAAAATACATTTTAACAATTATATCATTACAGCGAGTAGCTATTTTATAAAAATTGTTGTTCAATGCACTTTATCAACCGCAGAACAGCCAGATGAAAAACCCCGTCCCTCCTGTGACTTTCATAAATTGCTGAAAACACTTAGGTTAATTGTTATCGAATAAACCGCAGAACAGGCGACAGAAATTGTACCTGCTGTTATTAGAAATTATGTGCCTTCGTTTTTATAATCTCCTTTCTCTTTCCTCCAAGTTCTGTCTGTTTCACGTATGATTCATGCAGTTTGAGATACGTACCTTTAAACTTATGAAACAAAAACTGAGCTATTGATTCTCTCTTCGATATTATAGTTGGTCATAAATGTATACATATTTGATGACAATATCTTTGAATTTATAGACGTGTAAAAACTATAAAATTACTTATTTTTATTGAACCTGTTGCCAGTGATGCCGTAAGGCGCTCAAGGCCGGCGCACACTAGAGCTATGTGCTTAGCAAAAAGTCATTCGTGGCCATTGGTGTAAGCCAGTTGCTCTCGTGTGCGGGCGACTTTTCCGGCGACTTTGGTCATTCGTGCCACTTACGGCAAATATCTAGCATAATTTCTGCCTCGCGTGCCGAAATCTTTCCGTGTGCGGCAAACTGAAAGCTATCTGCTTATGGATTGTCTTAACAGCGCATGCATAATATAAAAAAGTAAACATCCAAGATGGCGTACAGATTGCAAAAACAAAATAATTATGGATGAAAATGAAGACGAAAAGGTGTTGTTATTTTTGTTGCTGTTGCGTAGACTAAACACCGTTATCCAAGTGCTATTAATTATATTTCCTGTTTGAGAAAGCTTACTAGCTATTTCTGCAAAGCGCATTCCCGTTTCTTTCTGTTTCTGAAATCTGCAGAGTTCACATCATATAAACAACTGTATTCTGACCAAAGATCAACCAGTTTGTCTTCCAATATGGCCTCAGTCACCAATTCTTTTTTGCTTTGTTTGCACCGCTATCTTTGATGTTTATTTTTGTATATGACGCATGCGCTGTTAAGACAATCCATAAGCAGATAGCTTTCAGTTTGCCGTACACGGAAGATTTTGGCGCGCGAGGCAGAAATTATCAAACATGCTAGATATTTGCCGTAAGTGGCACGAATGACCAAAGTCGCCGGAAAGTCGCCCGCACACGAGAGCAACTGGCTTACGCCAATGGCCACGAATGACTTTTTGCTAAGCACATAGCTCTAGTGTGCGCCGGCCTTTAAGCTATATTGAAACGTTCCCTTTCCGAGAGTGTTTGATTGATTTTATCGTAACCGACCTGTCTCAAAAATATGAGTCGCAGGTTTTTTTTATGACTCGATGACAACCGAGAATAATTGATAAGTTCAGAAAATTTTATTATTTCCAGTATAGCGCAGCCAGCCTGACGATTGGTCCCGCTGTGCTAATATTTTTGTCTTCATTGACTGTGAAAACAATAAGTTTCTAAATAAATGAATATTTATAATAACTCGAAATTTACATAGAGTGACAAAAGCGTCGTGTCGTGAGACATGTCAAAATGACTTATTCCTCGTAAGTAATTATCAAGAGTATCATCAGATGATCAAAGGTTGTTGCTTTTAAAAACTCAAAATTTCGTAAAAATTGCGTCGCGTTGGCGGATACCGGTGTATGTCGACCTTTACACTATGCAACTCTCCTTGCAACTGGTAATGCAATTCTACTCTTGAGGCATCTTAAGTTGTCAAATACGAACATTCAGTCTTGCGATCTGCTAGCGTTTTCTTAACACTACAAATTATCATTCCTCAAAATTATAAATGCATTTCAAGTTGCAAAGAAAATTGCATAGTGTAAAAAACCGTCTTAACTCGTGTCAATTCATGCCAATTCATCACTTTCGTTTCATTAAAATGTGTAATTTCTATCCAATTCTACCTAAGGCCTAGGTTAAACGTCGTATTTTGGTCGCGTCGAATGCAATTCAAACAATAGATAATGAGATGGTAATGAAGCTTAAAGAGGTTTATCAGCTCATTATCTATTGTTTGAATTGCATTCGACGCGACGAAAATGCGACGTCTAACCTAGGCCTAAAGCCGTTTTTCCACCAGCGATATTTTTCGCGCGAAGCGACTTTATTCCTTTGTATTTGAGCAATTTGTTCCAGATGGTTGCAGCTGAGAGCTCTGAAACAAAAGTAAAATGTCGCTTCGCGCGAAAAATATCGCTAGTGGAAAACCGGCTTAAGACAGTCTAAGACACATTCACTGGTGCAATTAGCACGCGCACGTGACACTTAATTGCGACAAAGAAGCCCTACACTATCGTGTCATAAATGTTATGCATGGTTCGGCAGAGCCACATTATTTCATATGTGTTAACAATATAGTATACTATTTCGCAATGCTCATGCTCATGCTCAGTTATTTAAGGAATGGCAAAAATATTGATCCAGCGGACTTAGTCAAGCTGAAACAGCTTGACTTAGGGTGGAGAATTTTGTACGACCCGATTTTGTGGGCCGCCTATGAAGCTTATCAGATTGATTGTCCGCTGGAGAGGAAAAACTGAGCAAAAGCATGGTATCTTGCTCGCGTTCGTTATTTATACCCTTTCCTACCTCCTTCACGCATGCCTGTGCTCATCCAAACATAAATTTATAGAAATAACCTTATATTTAACTTTCGCATATCATTATGAGCATTGCGAATAGCGAGTGAAAGATAATGAGTTGGTTATAATAAATTTCAATAGCTTCTTGCACAACGACGGCGGTGAAAATATTTCTCGGCGTGTTTCCTTTTTACCAGGCTCGTATTTGCTCATATTTTCTTCATCTGCTACGAGAAACGTGTTACTCAACAGGTAAAAGCTTTATCTATCGTAATATTGAAAGATTACTCTCGTGGATCAAGTGATTCATGCACAATATACGCCTTAATGTTGGACTTTGATCTTTTATTGACCCATCGTGCATAGAACGAACCGACAATGATTGAGTTTTTTTTTAATTCAAAGGCAGAGAGCAGCCAAACGTTTGGTCCCTGTAGAAGACGTCATTGCTGGGAATTCTGCTGGTATTCATGTTTGTGGTATGACAAACAGTGGCAGATGAAGCACTATGAACAGTTGTCCCTCGCCAAAACTTGGATCTTCCTGGCCAAAGCCGAATATCGGGTAACTATGCTATTTTCTACTTATGTTTCTATAGTGTTTAACCGTAATATATAGGCAACATGCTTCCTCAATTTGTTCGCAAAGCGACTCACATATTGAACTGCAGTGATCTGCTAATATAAACTGTCCAGCCACCCACGATCAAATTCTAACAGCATGTACTTGTCGCTAGCAGTGCAGAAAGTAGAACGTCGGTCGTGTGATTTACTGCGCGCTTCGAAATGATAGATTCCTGCAATGCATATTCGATCAAAATTTAATTATACAGTATACTTCGTACGTTCACCATCCGTTTTGAATAATAGCAATATACTAAGTGATGTTTAATTCCTCGACAAAGCAAATCCCTTGGCCTGGCCGAAGCTTATATTATGAAATGACTTTAATGAGTTTATAACTTGTATTTAATATATGTCATTCGGTACAAATATAGTCTTAGTAGAGTATAAACATAGTTTTTTCTGCTCCATTCTGCTCCAAGCAAATGTTAGGGCCTGTTTACATGAAGCGAGTTTTATGCCTTTGTTCCTCCGACATACCTGTTTTTATATTGCCATTTACCTCATGCATCTTTATTCTTTCTCTAATAAAAATATATTTCAGAAATGCTAAGATTAAGTACCCTAAGGAAGTATTCTGCCATCTTTTATTTGTAAAGCTCATCATGCGAAAACATTAGCTGTAAAATGGGTATTTTTAGCCCTGAGTATATAATTATATATACAAGGAGGATTAATTTAAATTTTCAGTGCATGTTTTGCTGAGCATTTATCAATCATTATAGTCACAAAATTTGTCTTAGTACCAGTGTTGCAAAAAAGCTGCGGGTACGCGGGTGCCACCCGGAGGAAGGTTTGCTTTGAATGAGGTTTGTGAGGAAGGTTCAAAGTTGAACACTCTAATTGATCACATGCATGTACCAAAAAACCAAATATTTCTTTATGCTGGTTGCCACTAGACTCAGTGACGTAACGTCATTTTGAGAAAGGTTTTCAAAACTTGAAATCCTACCGGAGGAAGGTTGAACTCTTTTTGCAACTCTGCTTAGTACCTATTAGGAAATGCGGCTAAGACTGTGCGGATGAAAACCAATTTCATCACCGCCAACTTTAATATATATATCCTTGCAATAAATTTATAATCCATATCAGACTGATTTAGTTTTTTGTGTTCCGAGACATGCATAATAAGGTTTTATTTATTCGTGCTAAAAAGTCAACGGAAAAGTCGCCCGCACCATGCAGAGCAACTGGCTTACGCTAATGGCCACGAATGACTTTTTGCTAAGCACATAGCTCTAGTGTGCGCTGACCTTTACATACCGCTTGTCTATCGAGCATTAGTATCCATTCTCCAGTCATTACGCTTTCATTTCTCTTTCCTGTGACGTTGGTTAGTTGACAGTTCACAACATTGATCTTGTCTCTGTAGTTCATTCCAACACGTTTCCGTTCTTTCTGGCAGAGTTCGTAACATTCTATCCGAAAAATCCCTGAGTTGACGGTACGACTTGATATGATTTCATCAGATAGTGAAGAAAGTCCACCTAAAAGGGGCATTTTGGTTGAGGGAATTTTAAACAATAACATGGCTGGTACACATATGCTCAACAGAAAAATATTTTATGAGATATATACATGGACAAATATATTCATGGACCACTCATGCACCTGTTCTAATAATATTATAAACATTTGAAGAGCATTCCTTTGAAATGACACTCGCAACTTCCACCAATAGTAAGATTAATGTTTGGGTCTCATAGAAGGGACCCTAGCTTAAATTGAATATCTCCGCAAGTATTTAGGCTAAAGATACCGGAATACCACCAAACGATAGCGCTTGAAGAGATCATATAAATGCTATATTCAAATCGGCAGATAGTTTTAAGCCGCACTTGTAATATAAGCCAAAATAGTAGCTTGCGTTGTTATCTCAAATTACATGCCCATGGCAACCATATACTTTTCAAAATTCCATGTTTGTCAATTTATTTTGTTCTCTGTTAGCTTTAGACCGTCTCAATTTTGCCTATTATCCATTCTGTTATAACTTCGATGTATTTTTAGATTAGGATGTGCTAGAGAATCGGAGAAATAAGCCATTTTAAGAGCTAAGCGATGAGCCTTGATGAGCGTTGCTAAGCGCGTGTTTAGCGCTTGCTCGGAATGTTGTCACGCGGTTCAAAAATGTGACAAAAGTCTGTGATGCCCACCCCCTAGGCAAATTTTGACCCCAAAAATCGATTCCTGGCGTAAAATTGGACCAAGGGGTCCGTTTTTCGGCTTTTTTTGCCCGAAATTTTTGGTGAATCTTTTTATTATTGTGAAATGCTTTCCGTGAGCGATGCGATAATACATACCATAATGGAGATTATGAATGTTTATGTAAAAAATCGGCAAAAATCTTCTAAAGGCACCATTTTGAAGCTAAATATATCAAAATGATCCTAGAAATGTGAACTAAATCACGGTAACCAGTTTTTGTTTGCGTTTTGGGCAATATTCTAAGGATTAGGCCGCTTTGAGGTATAATATCGAAAATTAGCCAAATCGCATGCATTCTAAAGCAAATATCCTAGCGAATTTGAAACATATAGAACTAAAAAAAAACATCTATCTACTGAGGACAATGTCCTCTTTTAAATGGTTTAATTTTTATTAAAATCAGCCAAGTATTTGCACAGAAAATGCAAGTTAAAGTGAGCCAACCATTTTTAAAGGTCATCTGATCAGCTGACAAAGAGCTAAAAAGTTTTTATTTCAAACATCTTGCATAGATGAGTTCGCCAACGTTTACTTTCTTCCACAAGCGGTATAGCGGAAATAGCGGATGAAAATTAAGAAACATGCCGCAAGCTGTCTCGTATATATTATTGATTTATATATTTCTTTCTTTTTTCTTCTTCTTTTGTGATAAATTTATGGTCATGATTGAAAATTTTTTTGGATTATTTCAATAGAAACCCGACAAAAAATTGTTCCTAATTTTGCATTATTTTTTTAAGAAACTTCCCCGTAATTATTTTTTTAACATAAAAACTATTAAGCATTCGTCTCTTTATTAGCTCAGCATATATCATTAATTTTTGGCCTCAAATTAATTGTCAAACTAACAATAATTATAACTCCAAACATGCCTTCTAAATGCATTAATTAACAGCACCTGTGACGTTATTACGAATTGCCTGCGATGTTCATAAATTGCTCGAAACACTTAAGCTGTTTTCTAATTCACTTTATCAACCGCAGAACAGAAGACCGAAAACGTACCTGCTGTTATGTTTATAAAAAGCATCTTTAAATTCTCCTTTCTCTGTTTTATGCATGCACGATGTAGTCAAATATTTCTCTTCTCTGCATTAAGGGCCTGTTTCAATATGCATGGAGCGAGTTATCCCGGCCAGACGAGGTAAAAAGCGCATCAGATCAAAGGCTTACCCTGATTAATCTTTCATTATAATGTATGCAGTTTATCACCTCACCGGGATAACCAGCTCCATACAAACAGGCTCTAAAGTGGTCATAAATGTCTACATACTGATTGCATATTTAAGTGCATATATAGTCGTGAAAATATATATCATGAACATAGATGTACAGAATTACTTATTTTTTTAAGCATTGCCAAGCGAAGTCTGAAGGTATTTTAACTTGGTTGGAACGTACCCCTTGCGAGAGTGATTTCATTAATTTTATTATAGCTATACTAACTGCTCAAATTCATGACCCCTACTAAAAATATGGATCGCAAGTAATTCCTTACCACATGACAAGCAAAAACAAGTTTAAAAACATGCATCAGTTATCTTACGGCCTTCTCAGACTATACAATCAGTTGTAATTATCATTATGACAAATGCAAAAGTGCCTATGATACAATCTGTCTTATTCTGTTCACGGCGGAATTTGAAGTGTTCTTGAACAGAATTTTAGATTCAGCTAATCGTCCAATCAGTTTCAACTAGGCCTAAAATCACGAACGCGCATAACTTACAGAAACTCGCAACGTCCATGACAAGACGAATATATAAATATCCACCCCCCTAATAATCTTCTAACGCTAAAACGTATTAAACGTTTTGTAGTTTTAAATGCACTGATGTAAGCTCTTACATCAACAACACTCCTATGTAATATACAGGGTGTCCCAAAAAAAGGAACCACTTAAATATGCAGAACATTAATACAGCTCTAAAGCGCAATAGATAAGCACCTCTGGGAATTGAAAATGGCTCTTAATCCTTCATTTAGCTGAACTATGGTGCAAACCCGAACAATATTAATATTCTTGCATATTTAAGTGGTTGCGTTTCTTGGGGACACCCTGTATGTTAACAATAATTAGTTAAAGATAACGAGTTGGTTATAATTAATGCTGAATAATAGATCTTTGCCGATGATCTTTGCCATCTAATAGTTTGGTGCCGTGAAAATATTTTTCATAGTGGTTTTTGATCGGCTCGTATTTTTGTTCATTTTTTCTTCGTCTGTTACCACAAACGTGTCATTCAACTCCTAAAAGCTTGATGTGATTCATGAAGCGAATGAAGTGATTCATGCACAATAACGTGCTAAAGTTGAATTGCCTTTTTTGACACACCATGTAGTGATCGAATATATTAATCACGATTGAATAGAATTATTGAATGGCTTTCTAGGAATATATTCCAACACTATATCCAACAAATACCAAAATAATATTTATTGGCTACAAACATCGTGTCAATTCAATTACCTCTGTTCACCCACTGATATTAAAAAACCAAGGGATCGCCAGAATTCTCTCTTTTACATGTCTTGAGCTCAAACTGGACGAAAATCTTCCACATATTCAAGCGATTTGCAACCGGATACTTTGCGACGTATTAAACCATTCGCTACAACAGCCTCCCTTTAAACAATTTACCGGGCTCTGATTCAGCTGTACTTCGACTATTGTTCTCGTATTTGGGGTGTCTGTGATCAAAATGTAGGGGATAAACTCGAAAAATTTCAAAAGTTTGCCACCCGAATCATAGTCGATGCAAGTTACGATATTAGAGACAAGACGACGTACTAGCAAATCAATACTATAATGTACAAATTTTGGAACAATTACGTAGCGACACCAAACTGGCTGAATCAATTCACGTATTCAAAAGCCACTTAAAACTGTAACATAATGAATACTTGAGAACTCATCACTCCTACTTGTACATAGTCTTTACTTTCTTAACGACTTTTGTAATTTTATTTAAGCAAGTTATAGCACTATTGCTTTTTGAGTTATCGTGCGCGAGTGTTAGGTGAATTAGAATTTTAGTTTGCTAAGAAGATCGATGAAAAACTTTTGCATATATTCATAAATTAAAGAGAACAATACAATAGAACAATGAAACAATAGAATGAGCCAATCGACACCTTTTGATTGCTCGGGGTAAAGCCCTAATTAATAAAACTTTTCGCTTAATTCCCCGGTTTTTTTGTATATTTTTTGGAAAATAAAATTCAGGTTCCCTTAGGGATAGATTTAAGTTTGCATCCCTTGAAACTTTTAGAACAGAATGATTCATGATTTTTTTTGTAGTGGACCACCTACACTTTTATATGCAAAGATTCCAACAAATTCTTTAAGGAACGATGTATCGGTTTAAAACATTTAACTGCAGTGCGTTTACAAGCGTCATCTTTGGGCATTCGCGATTATATCTGTCATTGTATCTTGTCGCAGCCTCGGGGGTAACATACATTAACGACTTCCTCGTTTAGTCGAGGAGAGGGCTATATTAGCAGCAAGTTCATATATTAATTTTAGCTGCTTAGCATCATGTTCAGACACTCATTAAATTTGGCAATGCGTGTAAGTTTATGGTTCTCCACCTACCTCCCCCATCCCACACCCTCTTCCCACGCATATTTTGCGAACTCGTGTGATTTTAACTTATTAGTTGTAGCTACATTGCACCCGCATATTACTTACATCACGGCATTTGTTTTAACAACCCGTATATATAATGTAAAACACGTATAAGACAATTTTAAATTAAAACATCTTAAATTAAGACTAAGATGACTATAATTAATCAACCATGCGATTTTCTTATGTTTACGATAAAATATATCCTCAAATCTATCACGAATGTCGCAGACTTGTCTTTTTGCCTTCCTTAGTGAATGTTCGTTTCTTAATCGGTTGTGCAGAAATTATGTTAAAAGTTGAGTGAACGAATTTTCATTTCCGTCTCTTTCATTGAATGACGGTGCCATTTTATCCAGCTTATTCTGCTGCCACTAAAATGACCTGCACCAACGTACAGGCCATTGAGGTTTGAACGATGACAGCTCGTGTACCACCAAGCACCTTTCCACATGACAGCACATTCACCATTACTATATTTATCATTGTCACTATCCCTGGTAGAGAACTGCATATGATTGTGGTCAGCCAGAGAATCACCTGCATCACCTTTTAAAAAAAGTAGCCAATATGCTCAGTTCACTAATTTTTATTTTAGAAATGTTTTCGGGAAAGAAATAGGCGTTTAGTACGGTGTTTATGTTTTTAGTGAACATCTGAAAATTGCCTTAAAATATGTAATATAGTTGTAATATACATAATAATTTTATATAGACTTAAACAAAAGCCGAAGCGAGGAGTCTGGATATAAATAACTCATTTGAAGAAAAACTGATGAATATGAAATTTGCATTTTTTTAATTCACACATTTGAGCTTTCTCTCCAAGAGGGCAAATGAGGTTGATGTGTGAAAGTGTAGCACCGCCGGCAAACGGCAGGGAGTATGGCACAGTGCCGGCACACTAGTTAAGCCTTAAAATCTTGAAGCTTGGCATACCTGAATAACTGCCAATATTCAATCTGTATTTGTCTGATTCATTAGCCACACTAAACGTTCCATATTCAGCGTAACGTTTAGTGCCATTGAAATCCATCAAATCAACTCTTAAAACATTTTGGCCAGACTTGGTCAAACGATGTATTCTCTCCAGGCCCAACCAGAACTCGCCACTCAAATTACCAAAGCCTGCTTTATAGTCTGACCATCCAAGGAAGAAATCTTGACTTCCATCTTGTCTTCTTTGGAACACGGTCCAGCCACCCCTGTCTGTGCTCATATCACAACTGATTTGAAACGATCCCAGGCCATCAGGATCAATGGTATAAACACCATCTTTCCTCACGCCTTTGTTATACAGATAGGCACAGCTAGTGGCTTTAAAAATGGAAAACATAGGCATATTTTCTGGGCCAGAAAATTCGAATAAAATTAATTTCCTACTTCCGAAATTTGCATGTCAAACTATGGCATCGTGACTTTGTAATAAACTGTACAACATGTAAAATGCTAAAATATAACTATTATTAAGTCAGTTTTAATTTGCCTCGTTTGCTAGCTGCAGAACAGGTTACTGGAACTATTTTAATGGGGAGTTTTAAAATTTTTTATCAGTATTCTTCATGCTTTTAACTAAAGCTAACTTAGATTACAAGAGCAAACATAAATACCCTGTAGTTATAAAAGGAAGATATGATATTACTTTTCTTTACCAAGTCGGTATAGTTTGGAAGAAGGATCTATGTTTTGGACATACCTGAGTTTAAAACGTCATTTCTTCTCTTTTCCTAATAAGAAAATACTTTTAGAAGTGCTTGCATGAAAAAACACGCGTAATTTGAACTCTTTGACGTCGTTATTCACTATTGGCTCCATAAAAATGTACACGCGAAGTTTTGCGCATCGACGAATTCTGTATATAACGCAATATTGCTAAAGGCGCAAGTGGTATAATCGTCACACTCCATAGAAAATCAAAAGCCTCAATTACATAAACATACCGCTTCATTATCGAGCATCAATATCCATTCGCCTTTGCCCGTCATTTTGCTGTGATTTGTCCTTTCAACGATGCTGGTCAGTTGGCAGTTCACAACGTTGAACTTTTCTCTGTAGTTGAATCCAACGCATCCCGGTTCTCTCTGACAGTGCTCAAAGCATTCCATCTGGACAATCCCATGTACTATGGTATGATTCGATATGATTCCATCTGGAGATAGAGACAGACCACCTAAAAATTCGTTATAAATTGAAATACGAATATTTAAAAAATTAAATTTTCGCCACTACGAAAATGACTTTATTAGAAGAGGGAAATTTAAAGCGACTCACCTTTTCTAATTGGAGTATAAATCATTGGAGGACAGTTCATTGAAATTATATATTCAATTTGAACGATCAGAGAAAGTAAAGTTATTATCTTAAACATGATTGCACGAAATCGTCAACTGTACGTGTGTACTTCGACATGCAGTTACTGAAATGACGCTTAGGCCTAGACTTAAGTTATACGTTGCATTTTTGGTCGTGTCGAATGCAATTCAAACAATAGATAATGAGATGATAAACTTCATAGTTTCATTATCATCTCATTATCTATTGTTTGAATTTCATTCGACGCGACGTTTAACCTAAGTCTTGGCCAACAAAGCAGGTGATAGAAAACGTATAAGTCAAGTGGCGTCAGCAAACTAAACTTCGGAAAATATGTATTTAACCTACTACAGTCGAATAAATACAGTATAGAATATATATTTTTTATTATAAAGGGGTTAGCAGCGTTTCAAGAACCGTAAGACTGTACCACAATAAAACTCATTTAATTAAGTATTATATAATAGGATATAGACCACGAACATATAGACTCTGGAAATTTCGAAATCATTAATAATTAACTACGATTGCGACAATTCAAGTAATTCAATGTATGCCATAGTTTAGACCCATTATGTATAAACAGAATGCACATTAGTACACAGGCGATCACCCAGTTTTTTCTTCAATTTCTGGTTTAAAATTAAATTGGAAATTAACGGAATATAGTAATATAATGAAATATTGCGACAATTGTACTATTTTACTAGCTAGGTATACTTAATTATACTTATAACTCAATATATTTCACAGTTAAAGTTAGAGACACATTATGCATAAACAGATAACACAAACAGAAAACGATCACGGATCACCCAGTTTTTTCGTCAATTTCCATGGCTCTAAATTAAATTGGAAATGAAAATAATATAGTCATAATGAAATATTACTGTTAATATGCCTTGCTAAATCAATTTTAGCACACTGCGCCGCGCGATATGATGTAGTAAATACAGTTCGTCAGTAGCTATTTGCTGCATTTACCTAGTATAGAAAGTTACCCATGTGACCAAAAAGTAACAATATTAGCGTGAAAGGGTATAGTATCCCGATAATTAACAAGAACTGGGACCTGTATATTATTATAGGTAATATTTTTTCGCTCTGTTTCAAAGTAAAGGTTAATGGTGCATTATGTTGTAAATGAAGGAGCTAAATAGTACAAGCATGCGACCGCCATCGTGTTACTAATTTCTCGTTAGGAATTGGATTTTGAACTTATTATCAACTTAAAGTAATTTTTCCAATATAACTGCCTTCTATAATGATGCAAATGCCTTCTAATCATTAATTTAAGCCAACTGCTCGCTGCATGAAGTAGTTCAAGTGCTGTCGGTCGGTAGTTGTTTCATTTTTACTTTGAAAGTAAATTACCGACTTGCTAATTAACACTGCAACTGTTAAGGCCGACACAGACAGGACGCGAATTGGCAACGCGGCGCGAATTTTCAACGTTTTATATTTTTCAAAAGCAATTAAATTTTAGCCTATCAAAATTTTCTTGTAGATTATATGAAAATAATACAATTTGACTGCTCTAGCGTCCTGAGATTCCAAATTTTCAGTGATCCCAGAAAAAATATAATATAGTAATATATATCACCGCCTGCCATATTTGCCCGAAAAGGGCCTGCGGAGGAGGTAGGTAATATATTGAAATATTACTGTTTACATGCCCGCTGTGAATAATTTTAGGCTTTTAGCACACTGCCCAACGCGACATGAAGTAGTTCCTTAGAAAGTCACCGACCCGCTCAATTAGTGACAATGTTAGCGGCGAGGGTTGGGTTTAGTTTTGTAATTATCTTGTGGCTAAAATGCTTCTTGCCTCTGCGATATATTTCACATGCTGCGCGGTATATCGCAATGTTTCTGGTTATGAACATTGGCCACAACGTTGCTGTTTCTCCTCTAAAAACCTTAAAAAAAAATTATAACTTTAACAAGATGTGGGGAAATTTTAGGTTTTATTTTTGCACTCAATATATTTCATAATTAAAGAAAAAGGCGCATTATGTATGAATGAATTTCAGGCGTATTAGCACAAGCGAAAGTCAACGTGTTACTAATTTCTAGTAATGAATTGAATTTTAAATTTAATATAGTTTTTTCCCCTTTAACTGTTTACATATGCCTTCTAAATTAAATTTAGCCGACTCCTTGACGCTACATGAAGTAGTTGAATAATAGCCCCAATATACCCCCTCGCGGAACTCCGACTTCTATAAGGACTCAAAGGTTGATTAACTTTCATTTACCACAGTATAGCTTGCATTCGATTCGAGAGATAGGATTTAAACCAGTTGATAAGTACTAAGGTAATATAATAGAAGTAGATATATAATTTAAAAAAAATATTGATAATTTCATCCAGAACCATGGGGTCATTTTAAAAGTTTAGGGAGTTAAGTAAAATGAAAATAATCCCCGACGCCCCTTTTAATGGCAGGTAGATTTAGGCGGAGAGAAGGCTTTCTTATCAGTAAGTTCAGACACGCTCTAAATTTAGCAATGCTTTCCAATTTTTGCGATACAACCGCCAGTGTTTGTAACTGATTTGCATATCTATTCAAACTAATTTTTATGGGTTATACATGCGAGAAATAAAAGTTTAAATATTAGGGTTTTACCCCCAAGCAAACAAAAGTAGTCGATTGACTTATTCTATTGTTTCATTGTTCTATTCTATTGTTCTCTATAATTTATGAGGATATGTAAAACTTATTCGTCGTACTTCTTAGGGTTGATTTCATTTGCTAAAATGCTGATGAAATATTAATCGTTTTTGAATAAAACTTGATATTTAAAAGCACGGTGGCCTCTCGAAGGGGCACGGTGCCTGATTTTCAAAGGGCCGTGTCAACTAAATACAATGACTTACGTATTGAATATTTGCAATTATAACTAAAATGTATACAATATAAACACAGCCTTGTAAATTAACAACAAATATAATTTATAATACGATTTCCATGCATACTTAAGTCAATATATAGGAACGTTTACGTCATTATTAAACGTTTTTCAGGCTATAAATATACATTTTCTTCGATCTATATATGAAATATCAGTCGCTTTTTACTGAGACTGAACGAAATACAAAACTTTTCGTTTGATTCTCGCGTTCTAAATATATTTTTTGAGAAAAAAATTCAGCACCGATTAGCAGGACATTTAAGTTTGTATCCCTTAAAACTTTAAAAACAGTATTATATTGACCATCTTAAACAAACATGAGACCTTGCTTATTTTTTTTGATAAAAAAAATCCTTAAACCTATCACGAATGTCACAGACTTAATTGACTTTTTGCCTTCTTTAGTGTATATTCGTTTCTTATAACTGTTGTAAAGAAATCATGTTAAGCTGAAGTAGTTTGGACGAATTTTCATCTCCGTCTTCTTCAATGAATAATGGCCCCGCCACATCAACCACGTTATTCCGGTTGCATCATACTGACCTGCACCCAGGTACAGGCCATTGAGGTTAGAATTATAACAGTTGTTGTACCACCAAGCACCTTTGAATCCGGTAGCACAATTCTCATCACTTCGAGCATCATTGTCGCTATCGTTCGTAGTGAATTGCATTTGATTGTGATAATAAAGGGAATCTCCTGCGTCACCTTTTAACATAATAACAAGAGATAATATTACTAAGCCCTGCTTCCACGGGCGAAATTTTCAAGCGAAATGCGAAATATTTCGCCTGCTCCTTTTAAATTGTGAGCAATCAAGCAGAATTAATTTATTCAAAAGAAACAGGCGAAATATTTCGCATTTCGCCAAGAAAAAGCGCCCGTGGAATCGGGCCCTTAAACTCATTTTTATAGTTCAAGTTTTTTCAGTTCTAGTTCTTTTTTGAAAAGTGCGTAATCTTTCCTAAAGAGTAACCCACGATGGCGAGGCCATGAAAATATCAGTCAAATTACATTCCTAATTATTTTTCATCTGCATCTCATGTGATTGATTAAGGTGTCCGGCTGAAATTTGAATGTAAATTTCGAGTGCAATAAAATCTTTAATACGAGGACCTGAGAAAGGCGTAAGCAAGAAATTGATCGGTTAATTCGGTTTATCATAAAATCCAATATTCCCACAAGTTATGAGCGGTGAACAATATGAAGTCAAATGTTTTTACCTGAAAAATTGCCAATATTCAATCTGAATTTGTCTGACTCATCAGCAACACTAAACGTTTCATATTTAGCGTAACGTTCAGTGCCATTGAAATCCATCAAATCAACTCTTAGAACATTTTGGTCAGACTTGAACAAACGATGTATTTTATCAAGGCCCAACCAGAACTCGCCTGAAAGATCACCAAAGCCAACTTTATAGTCTGACCATCCAAGGTAGAAATCTTGACTTCCATCTTGTCTTCTTTGGAACACGGTCCAACCACCCCCATCTGTGCTCATATCACATCTGACTTTGAACGATCCCAGGCCATCAGGATTTATCTTATAAACACCATCTTTTCTCACCCCTTTGTTATACAGATAGGCACAGCCGATGGCTTTAAAAATACAGGAAGATATTAGGATAAAACTATAGATTTACAGGATGGAGTAAGGATCGGTTAAATGATTGCTTCAACCACATGCAAAGTGTTAAATTCTATTTAATATTGCTCGGCAAATCCTCAGCATGAAATGTTATGTTATCACTGCAAACAAAATACCGTCGGTATAAAAGAAAAGTATTTTTGAAGAAAGATCTATGTTTTAAGCATACCTGAGTTTAAAATGTCATTTCTTCTCTTTTCCTAATAAGAGAATATTTTTAAAGGGTTTCAATTTCGAGTGGAATCATGCACAACTCAACTCAAGCCAGAAACTGTTGAGAAAAATTAGTCAACTATCGGTCCTCCGGCAGGAATCGAACCTGCGCTTATGTCATGCCGGTGCATTGCTCTTGCCACCCAGGTCATCTGAAAAGGCGATAAAAGGACTAGGCTAATTGCCATATAAAAATCCATTTGTCTGTTGAAACAACTTAATAGTCTCGTGAAATATACTTTATTTCGGTTTCAAATTTATATTAGAGCTATAGTTCTTAAAAAAACAACAACACAAAAATTAAGAATGGTTCCATCAAGTATAACTAGAAATACATGCATGCAGCAACCCCTCGCCATTTCAAACGAAGCAAAATATTTCTTCAGCTAGCCAGACCTAACCTTCAATGTTATGAAATGTCCTATTAAAATGTAAAGCTGATAGCTGATGTTTCAAACATTTCGGAAACAAACACAGTCGTAAAGGTGAAGTGAAATCACCCATTTTCCTGCTGCTTTCCGTTGCATTAAGTTATAGACTTTCACAGTTTAATTAAGTGAGAGTTAATACCCCATTATAGCTAAACCTTCAAAACATCAAAACAGCCCAAATAATATTGTTACGCAAGGCTTCATTGTGTTTAGAGATACGCATATAAAAATAGCTATAAAAATAGAAGTAGCAAGAGCATGACAGGGATTAGTGATTAAGTTTTGCCACAAGACGCCTGAGTAAATATAATTTCGGCCCATTCGCAACCATTAATCGCCTTTCCCTTTCATGTATGACATATCGTGGGATTAAATAAGTAATAAGGTGAAAATAAATATAATCCTCTCAGAATTAATACCTGGATAAACATTCATAAGTCGTCACTTATCTTAATGGTCGCATTCTTTAAAAAAGTGTGCGTGCTGTAGGCCATTCAAGTTCATATGTCAATCAATTGTGGTAAAAATGTTGCTCGGTCAAGCATGTAATAGATTACGTCATCAAAAGTTCAATTCGATAAAATAAGAGTGAAAATAGTTTAAGTTGAAAGATATTGTTCACAGACGTATTGTTTGTAAATTTTACTAGTTGTTGATGATAAACATTTTAAGTTGTGAACATTTTTAAGTATTGATCGATTGAGCAGAAGACCAACTCGACTAGTGCGACAACGCCTTAAATAAACAAGATATGAGAGCTGGAACGAGCTTCTAAGACCAACCCACTGGTTACATGTACAACGCTGATTGGCTGGATAAGGATCAGCCCACTATGGTTGATGACGTATGCAAGAGTCACTGAACCCTCATTATAAAAGGGCGTGCACAGCACCTGAACCTTCAGTGGACTAGCGGAGTGGACTAGCGGAGTAAAGATTAACTTATGAAACGTTAAGAAGCTCAACCTACAGGACAGACGACCAAAGACAAGAACGCAAAACGACGAAGATAGAGAAGTAGAGAAGAGAAGAACGGAAAAAGAAGAGAACATTAGCGAACTTTAGTAAAAGCTTGTAAAAGATCTCCTACCTCGCGTAAGAAGAAATAAAAAACATATAACAACTTGATGGAGGAACGGCGCTAGGAATACCTCGCCTGTGTATTATACTAACATTGAAGGAACGGCATGATGACCGAGTCGAATAAAACGCACGCTATGTATTCATCCATACTTCTACTTATGGCAATGCTAGACTTTGTTTCATTTTTTGGTTGTATGTTCAAGACAACTGTCCACAACCTCTACACTTTCCATGAACTTGAATTGAAACTACAGTCGTTTTGCCCTCAGTCTGCAATCCAAGACGAGTTTGATGACATGTACTCCCTCTATCTGAACGTGTTGGCTATGCCAGAAATCCAGCTAAAGACGCATCAGTGGAAGCCTCCGTGGTCGTTAAAATATGATTATTGAGACGTACGAAAGTCTCAGAGTTTTCCGGATCCTTCCTGATGGTCAGAACGCTTGTATTATGGACATGAAACTGGACGCATTTTAAGATTTGTATAATATAAGTTTTTGTCATTCTCATGTTACACGTATATGTTTATCATTTGTTTGTTTATGTGCGATAATATTAAACACGAGAGTGTATGGCTGTTCAACTAAAATTTCTTAGGTACACTCAGCATGCTGATTAAACATGTTGCCGTAGGATAGCGCATGCATGTTTTTAATTGGGTCAGTGTATAAATTTAATTCTGACGCTTTTAGTTTTGCGTCATTCGTTGATAATATATTTTTCTCTTCCCCCGGGACAGTCAAGGGTCTCCCAAACTTGTTGTAATGGATTACAATTCTTTTTCAAGCCAAAAGCTTAAATATTAGGCACATTCTTGTTTTCTCTATGTAGACTCGGTATTTATATTGTCGATGAAAACCTACATTTTGGAGTTTGGTTTGCCGTGCATGACGTTTAAAAAAGTAAAATGAGTTTCAGTTATATTAAGAAGTATACGTATAAAATTTGTTTGCATAAGTTGAAATATTTTGAAGAATTATTAAGACGTATATATAGGTTTAGGTTATTATTATGGAGAGATGTTTTGTCGGAAGAGCTTTATAATAATTTCCTGTTATGTGAGTTGATCAACCAAGAATCTGAATACAATTTTCGCTGTTGCAATGATAAGATATTTTATGAAATTTGAATAATTTTTGGTACACTTTCTGACTGCATCTACAAAATTTATAATTTCGCTTAAGTCCCTGGTACATACATTCAGGAAAACAGGAAATTTTTACGCCTTGTTTTCACACTAATTTTGGTTTAAATCGCTATATTCTCACGTGTTGGATATAATCATATAACATTATTATAGCTAGATTACCCCAGAGGTACATATAGGCATAATTAAGTTATGTATGTAGTGTTGTCGTAGTTTAACAACACATACTATGTGTATAGTCTCAGTTATTAGGCATTAGGTAATATGCCCGTGATAGCCACGCCGTGCTCAGAAATATATAGTTGGGAAATTGTAGACACATATATGTATGGTATTTAGTTAACTTAAGTTCGTTATAGCTCACACGAAGCTGGGGACAGCTTATTCTAGGTGAGGAGGATTGTTACGCAAGGCTTCATTGTGTTTAGAGATACGCATATAAAAATAGCTATAAAAATAGAAGTAGCAAGAGCATGACAGGGATTAGTGATTAAGTTTTGCCACAAGACGCCTGAGTAAATATAATTTCGGCCCATTCGCAACCATTAATCGCCTTTCCCTTTCATGTATGACATATCGTGGGATTAAATAAGTAATAAGGTGAAAATAAATATAATCCTCTCAGAATTAATACCTGGATAAACATTCATAAGTCGTCACTTATCTTAATGGTCGCATTCTTTAAAAAAGTGTGCGTGCTGTAGGCCATTCAAGTTCATATGTCAATCAATTGTGGTAAAAATGTTGCTCGGTCAAGCATGTAATAGATTACGTCATCAAAAGTTCAATTCGATAAAATAAGAGTGAAAATAGTTTAAGTTGAAAGATATTGTTCACAGACGTATTGTTTGTAAATTTTACTAGTTGTTGATGATAAACATTTTAAGTTGTGAACATTTTTAAGTATTGATCGATTGAGCAGAAGACCAACTCGACTAGTGCGACAACGCCTTAAATAAACAAGATATGAGAGCTGGAACGAGCTTCTAAGACCAACCCACTGGTTACATGTACAACGCTGATTGGCTGGATAAGGATCAGCCCACTATGGTTGATGACGTATGCAAGAGTCACTGAACCCTCATTATAAAAGGGCGTGCACAGCACCTGAACCTTCAGTGGACTAGCGGAGTGGACTAGCGGAGTAAAGATTAACTTATGAAACGTTAAGAAGCTCAACCTACAGGACAGACGACCAAAGACAAGAACGCAAAACGACGAAGATAGAGAAGTAGAGAAGAGAAGAACGGAAAAAGAAGAGAACATTAGCGAACTTTAGTTAAAACTATTGTAAAGATCTCCTACCTCGCGTATCAAATAAAGAACATTATAACAATATAAATAACCAAGCAGTGAACGTCGAATGTTGTTTTTCGATTGTTAAAATCATGCAGTGATTGCAGTCGACTATATATAAACCTTTATAGTGATATTTGTTATATTAAAACACCGAATTACACTTTTAAGGACTCTTTTGGAAGTTAAAACGATGATGTAAAGCCTTAAATAGTCGGTCACGTCTTCGCAAAACCGAGCAAAACGACATACTGTACCAAGGTCATAAAATGTATTCGTACAGCAAACATGAAATAAACCTCGAAATAAACAAAATAGACTCCTACCATTTCAATGATTATAATCGAGTTGTTCCTTTTCACCGCTAATTCCTCCGGTTCTGATAATATTTTAAACTCTTTCCAGTGTTTTATCTGTTAATTGATTCCACATTTCATATTTTGTTTTCGAAATATTTTTTTAAAAAATAGTTTGCAAAATGACAGTTAAATTGCTGACGTTTTTCACTGAAAAACAAACGTTTCGTCTTAGCCAATCAGTAAGTTGCTGATTCGCGCATGCGCACAAGTACCATGACCATTGAACGTCCATGACATTTGGGCAACTTTGGATTCCGCTATGTTCTCCCGGGTCCCGGGTGTAATTCCTAATCTCCGGGCGGAATTAGTACCCTCGCACGGTGCTCCGCACCGGCTCGGGGACTATAAAGATATAATCGATTAAACTCTGCAAAATGGATTTCTATTTTCACAAACTTTTTGAGCGCTGATGGATGAAATATGAGCGCGAGATCTCCTGGACTGAGATACAGAGGTAGCTAACAAGAGCAAGCTTGGTTAGTGTATTTTAGCCGAGAGTAGGTGATACTAAATCAATTACGATTTAGTGGCACTGCGGGAGGACCGATAGAAGGACATAAACATACCAGTTTATTATCGAGCATTAGTATCCATTCTCCTTCTCCCTTCATTGAAGTTTGTTCTCTCTTTTCAATGATGTTGGTCAATTGGCAATTCACAACATTGATCTTGTCTCTGTAGTTATATCCAACACACCCCGGTTCTTTCTGGCAGAGCTCGTAACATTCTATCGGGACAATTCCATGTTTAATGGTATGATTCGATATGATTTCATCTGGAGATAAAGACAGACCACCTAAAAATCATTTATAAAATACGAATATTGACGATATAAACACAACAAAAATGATTTTGTTGGAAGAAGAGAGAAACTATGACGACTCACCTGTTCTAATTGTAATATAAATGATGGGAGAACAGTTCTGTGAAATTATATATGCAATTTGAAGAATCAGTGAAATTAAAGTTATTATCTTAAACATGATTGCGTGAGCTCGCCGACTGTGCTCTCGTCGACATGCAGTTGCTGGAATGACGCACAGTCGACAGAGCAGGTGATAGAACACGTATAAGCCAAGTGGCGTCTTGTCATAATTTATGGTAAACGTTAAACGGTAAACTAAACTTCGGAAAATATATATTTAACCTACTACAGTCGAACGTCATATAGAGTATAAAATATTATATATAATAGAGGGGGTAAGGAGTGTTTTAGGACCATAAGGCTGAACCATATAGTAAAACCTTATTTAATTAAATATTATTATAGCCTACGAACATTTACACTGTCAAAAATTTCGAAATTATTGATTATTAACCACCATTGCGACGATTATATTAGCGGGGATGGGGGGGGGGGGTATTGGTAATCTTGCAATTACTTTGTGGCTTCAGAAACTCGATCTTCTGCGACACCGATACACAAATCTGCATGCTGTGCGATCTATCGCAATAATTTTGTTAATAAACTTATGCCTTAACGATTTTTTTTTCTATTGCCTAACTTGAAACTTGCTACGACCGTATGGACTCTGAACACCATGGAAAATCATTCATAATTAACAAGAATTGCGACCTGCATGTATAGGTTTAAATTAATTTTAGCTGGCTCATTTTCATTAGTAGTTCAAGCATGCACCGTCAGTCAGTATTTGCTTCATTTACACAGTGTGACATAGAAAGTTAAGAACTTGCTCATCATGCGGCAATGTTATAGCGTAGAGAGGACATTTGCTGCCATCATCTTAAGTGTGGCTAGGAGACGCATAATTTCTTTTTTGGGGCCGGTTGTTCGAAAGGCGTTTAGCTTAAACGGTGGATAAGTTCAAAATGGAAAAAATATCTCTTTATTGAACATATTTCGATGTAAATAGTTTAATTTTCAATGGAAAAACATATTTAATGATTACGTAAGACGCAGCGACAGCGAGCTCCTTGGCGACTACGTGGCTAAAATGCCCATTGCGATAATAATTCTGAAGATATAAGTTTAGCGCCATATATCGCAATGATTTCGTTAATAACTTTGGCCAAAACGTTGTGGTTTTTTCAAAGATGATAGTTTTTATAATTTATTGATTAAATTGAAAATTGTCAGAACCATATGGACATCATTAATAATTAACAATAATTGCGACAATCATTGATTTCATTATTCCTCTCAATGTGTTTTATACCGATAAAGTTAAAGGCACATTATGATTTATACGTATGAATAAAATACATGCAGATCAATACACAAGTCAGTTCGAAGAGATATTTTTAAGAAACATCAATCCTATGATTACATAATTTGATCATGAAAACAACTATAGTGCATATTCGTTTGTCAACAGCCATATGCCAGAGAGTCTTAAAACTATAGTTGCGACGAATTTTTATCTTTTATCATGTAACATTTCATTCCAGCTCACTATCTATTGTCCTTAATGTATTCGGCACTTTGAAATACGTTTTATGAAACACCTTGGTGTCAAGGGTTTCATTTGTATAATTATCATCACAATAAAGAAATCCGTATTCATGCAGTTGTAGATATGGTTGAAGTTACGTATTTTTTCACTGCAATGTATAAGGTAATTATATAGTTGGCACATTGACGATAACTATAGTAATCCCACAGTGTAGACTGTAGATATACACCTTGAACCTCACCTATAGAATTAATATTTACTGGAAAAAACATCTGTTGAACAAAAGAACGCGAAACTGTCTGAGTGTATACGAAGCAATGTTTGAGCAAGAAACTTTACATACAATTGAGTTCATGTAAATTAAATAAAGTTTACAAACATTCGTATATTATACACTTAATTAATGTATGCTCCTGAGGGAAATAGTGAGTTTTGCGTTCCCAATTAAGAGTCTGAATATAATGTTTCCCGGGACTCGAGGGAAAACAAAACTCGTTATTTCCCGAGGTAGTTTACATTAAGTGTTTTGTTATATAGGAACAAAAACATACATGTTACACCACATTTTTCGAAAAAAACCCACATTACTTCGTTATGACAAGAAGCGCGGGCAACAATTTTTCACTTGTTCCCCTTGCGGAAACATTGCATTTATAAAAAGTATATGTAACTACGAATGAATCAATCACATTTAAACTAAACAGCACCTATATAACAATGGTATTTGTATCAGTGTATGGGGCGTCTTACATGGGCTTTTCCTGTCCCGTTCGCACTTTTCCTTTTGGTAACACCTTTATTGGTATTGTTAATGCTTTCCAATAAACTTAAAATAACAATAACAGTATGCATTCTATAAATATATTTTCTGTCCTATCTCGTTTAAATTTTAGGCTTTAATTGTATCAAAGGTACCGCAGTACGCAGTATAGGCTTTATTTGCATAAAATGTGCATCACAACTCAAAAATTCTGCAGAATACTTTGTTCTCGCTCAGTAGTGGGAGATCACTTGCATAATAGAAACATGGGATATTAACTTTAAAACTCAAATTCGAAAGTTCAATTCGTTATGAACGTACGTTTTCCATCACCTGCTCCGTCGATGAAGCCATTTTCGGATAAACGACAGCTGGCGCGTATAATCATATCTAGTTCGACTGACTTGAAGCCCCCAAATCCAAAGTTGCTTCCTTAGAAATTATTCATCCTAATAATAATCATAATAAAAAATATATTATCAGAGTTATAACTTCAGTTATTACATAATCATATTTATGCAGCATCCGTTTTTTGGACACCTTGCGGTCTCCAATTTAAAGATCGTCCATAAATATTGACAGCATTTTATGAGCCAAGAAGCAAACTGTCTGAGTGCATACACTTATGATGCAAGGTGGGAACGTGACATTTAGGTTTGAGGTTAAATATAATCTAAAAGTTAAGTTTTCAAGCATAGTGGCTTCATTTCATTCAAAAGATACCGCGACCAACACATGACAATGTCGTCAACTTAATTACTAAAACAGTCTGTTATACTAGTCTGTTATATTATATATTATATTATCTGCTATATACGCAAAGAGTATGCAAGTGTGGTCAAATCCTGCGAAAACGTTCTTTTATTATGTTAATTGCAAATTTTCAAGAATGAAACGTACATGCACTAATCCATGAGATTTTGAGATCAACAAAATTTTTAAATATTCTTCATTCACTTCATTTTTTAACTAAATTACCTTTGTTGTTTGGTTTCCGCTGTGGAAGTGGTGAAGACAATGGTGAATAAGGTCACTTTACCGCGTTTATGAAGATTTCTAGGCAATTACTCCCGAATTCTATCGGTTACCTTGCGTGAACACGTAGAACAGTCAAAATATTAAATATTTTTTCGAGTGAACACCTGAACCGGACGACTGAGAGCACGGTTCCAAATTTTTCGATCCCGTCTGAAGGTAGCCTATAGCAATAGGCCATTGCCGATGTATTTAGCAAAGAAGTAGATTTAGCTTCACTTTATATGTATTATGTTTGCCGTTTTATGTTTGATCCTTAAATGGCTGTGACTACACATTTTAATGCAAACGTGAAACAAAAACTGTGAAGCTGCAATTACTGTTTGTGCTATTTGACGAATTATGCTATATGAATACTAGCCTTTATAATGCATAGCGCAATCATCGGGCTACACCACTGTTGCGGAATGACCAGTAAATGCACTGAAAATTGGGATAATCCGGCAGTTGGATCCGCTAGCTAGTTAAACTTATAATATAAGTGTAATATAACGAGAAATTTGATTGGCCAATGCGCGTGCATTGTTAGGCAACAATACGCGGTTGTAGCTTTAGAAATTTTCCTATCTCTTGTTGAAGAGTAAACTAATTGTTTAGTTGAAAATGAAACTTATTGTTGATTAGTTCTTTGACAACTTTATGTTATATTTTTGACCGCTCGACTATCACTTCAGGGACAGTGAATTTTGACCAATCAGAATGCAGGAAAACTATACTAATCTATATATTACTATACGTTTCTATATAGTTTTTAAACGTGGTATAGCACATACGTTAGCTCAATTTCTCACGAAAACGAGTCGGTGCCGTTTTAAACATCGAACTGCAGTGCATGATAATTCTGCTAATATATAAGCTGCTGAGCCAACCTATTAAATTCTTAGGCACATAATGGTAATATGGTATGCTGCACAAAGATATTGCATTGATTTGCCAAATAGTCTAACATTAATATTGGTTCGTGTACATACTAAAGTAATCGGTGTCAGTGCAAATACATCTTCTTGTTCTTTGTGTTGCCTATAATTATAATTTTACATTTACCCACCATATTTAATATTTCTTATTTGTCCGCGATACCAAAAAACGGAAGATTTGACAGTGCAATACTGTGCACGGTGCGAGCATTTTATAATTTAAATTGTTTTTCAGTGGTAATTTTACAGCTTTGAAAATTCTTATTTACATACCGCTTAATCATCGAAGCATTAGTATCCATTCTGCAGTCATTATGGTTTGATCTCTTCTCTTTGTGATTTTAGTCAGTTGGCAGTTCCAAACATCGATCTTTTCTCTGTAGTTAATTAATTATATCCAACACATTTTGGTTTCTTTTGGCAGAGCTCATAACATTCTATCGGGCCAATCCCTGAGTTGACGGTATGATTTGACATTTCATCTGGAGGTAAAGACGATCCTTCTAAAAGTAGATAATATAGTTAGGGAATGCTCAAGGAATTTTTTTAATGAACGGAGCAAAATTATTTATTTTAGAACAAACCATAGCATTATATAGAACGCATTTCTAGATTTCAATCCGGGACAATTCAATGAAGAAAAATGTCTTCGTGATTTCCGAACTTTTAACAACAAATCAGAAATTTGCGACGATTTTTCTGATGATGAAGTTTGTTGAGTAAATTGCATCCGCCTCCGTTTGACAAAATTTCAATAAAAATACACTTTTTATTTGCAAAATTTAAGCATTTTTAAGTTGTTTTCAAGTCTAAAATTGACAGATAAATTTGGTAAATATATCCAAGGTGGTTTTTTTTCAAGAAACTAGCGTAGTTTTTGTGTTTCAAGCGTTGGTATTAATGTATATGCGTTATATTTTTTGTCAGAGAGTTGCCAGCCTTAGGATAATTATATACAGAAGATAGTATGCGGTACCCGCATTTACCGGGCTGCCTATGCTGTGATGAGTGCATGGTTGCAAAACATGGAACACGGAAATCTGAATTGTATAGTTTTTCTTGACGTTCGGAAACCGTTCGACTCAATAAATCATGAAATACTACTACAAAAAATGCATGACTATGTTGTTGTTATATATAAACGATATGCCTCAATGTTTTAAATTTTGCACTCACTCCATGTATGCTGACGACACGGAAATCTATGCATCTGGTAATGACTGTTATGAGCTTGTTAATAATATAAATCACGTTCTTGATAAGGTCCGTAAATGGGTGTAACAAAATAAGCTCCAAATTCACCCAAAAAAGACAAAACACATGTTTATCAGATCATCTTTATCAGATCATCTAACAATAAGAATAAAATTGCTCAGACCCTAATTTTAATCAATAACACGCCAGTTCCCAGAACGGAAAACCATACATGTTTGGGTATTGACATAGACGAACAACTTAATTGGGAAAAACATATAGATAAGATCTGTGCGAACGTTGGGGCTGGAATTGGAGTTATGAGAAGCTCGTTCACAAACAAGGAACTCGAAGTTCATGTAAAACCCAATAATGCACTCACAGAGTGCATTAATCCTTAAAATTGGAACTGTGATGTTATAATTATACATTTACGAGACTCTTTCCTACCTTGTGAAAATAATTTATACAGATGAAGTAAACAATGTAAGCGCGCAAGTCAAATTCTAAGCTATAGTATTATCGCATCGCATCAACGTTATACCCAGAAGACCTTTAGAAAACCCATGTTATCATTATATTACTTAATCCCATGTTATCACTTTAGTGTCACGGATTTATTATGACTTATTTTCATGACGCAAGTTCAGATGCACGCATTAAATTTAGCAATGCTTGCTATTTTTTTTGGAGGGGGGGGGGGATTAGCCTCTCCAGTCCCAACATATTCATGCATAATTGCACCTATACTATCTTTCATCCGTCTGTTTATCAACAGTGGTCAATCATTATGGCGTTTGTTTCGACAATAAGCTAGTATACAATGTTATTATTATTATTAAAACTTATGTAAAAGCACAATTGCCTTTGCCTGGTTTTTAAAGGGCTGTGCTAACTAAATACAATAACTTTTTGTATTAAATATTTACAATAATCGCTAAAAATGTATGCAATATAAACATGCACAGCCTTGTAAATTAAAAGCAATTATATAATACGATTTGAATGTAACTCAATTTACGGTACAGAGACGTTTACGTGAAGAAAAGTTTAACAAATATTAAAACATCTTACAGACTAAGAAAACTATCAGACATGCGACTATGCTTATGTTTACGATAACCTATCACGAATGTCACGGGCCTGGTTTTCGCCTCCCTTAATTATTCAATGTTGGTTTCTTAATTGTTGTACAGAAATCATGTTAAAAGTTTTTTGGTCGAATTTTCATCTCTGCCTTTTTCATTGAGAAAGGGTGCCACTTTTTCCATCTTATTCCGAAAATGCCATTCAACTGACCTGCACCATGAAGGTACACGCCATTGAGGTTTGAACGATGACAGTCGTTGTACCACCAAGCTCCTCTGAAGGTAATAGCACAATTTCCATTACTTCGAGGATCATTGTCGCTATCCTTGGTAGTGAACTGCATTTTATTGTGATAAGCAAGAGAATCACCTGCGTCACCTTCCAACAAAATAAACAATAAATAATACATTAACTTACTCATCTTTTTAGTTCACAATTCTAGTTCGAATAGGACCCTTCTGGAAGTGCGTCATTTTTGCTGTAGAGACAGGAAATTACGTTCATAATTTCTGAAATCGGGATGAAAATTGTCATAAAATGTTTAATATGAAAATCTGAACAAGGCGAATGTGAGACGTAAGTCTGCATTTACATTTACACAATGGAAAAGTTCTCTGGGAACTAAACATTTTTCGCGCACCCTATGCGCAGTAGGTTTGTTTCAAATTTCATTCATAAAATTATCATTCCGACAAGTTATAACCGGTGAACAATATAAAACTCACGAGTTTTTACCTGAGTAATTGCCAATATTCAATCTGTATTTGTCTGATTTATCAGCCACAGTAAACTTTCCATATTTAGCGTAACGCCCAGTGCTATTGAAATCCATCAAATCAATTCTTAAAACCGCGTCTTGACCAGATTTGGACAAACGATGTATTTTATCAAGGCCCAGCCAGAATTCGCCGCTCAAATTACCAAAGCCTTTTTTGTACTCTGGCCATCCAAGGAGGAAATCTTGACTTCCATCTTGTCTTCTTTGAAACACGGTCCAGCCATTCCCGTTTGTGTTCATATCACAACTGACTTGGAACGATCCCAGGCCGTCAGGATCGATTGTATAAACACCATCTTTCCTCACTCCTTTGTTATACAGGTGTGCACAGCTAGTGGCTTTAAAAGTCGAAAACATAGATATTAAATATGTCATAGCCAGATGATTCGAACAAAATTAACATTCTACATAAATTTAAATATTCAAAGCTTCCATGTCAAAATTTGGCATCGAGAGTTAATAATATATACATATAGTAAAGTAATAAAGTATTAAGGAGCTACTAAAGTATACAAAGTACAAAAACGCAAAAATATTACTATTAGTAGTGGGCTTGTTATAATTTGCCTCGATTGCAAAACGAGTTAATCCAGATATTTTGAAGTAGACCCTTTGATCGGTATCGTTCTGCTTGATTAGTAAATATTAGATATTACTTTTCTTTAGCAAAGCAGTTGGAAAAAATCTATGTTTTGGGCATACCTGAGTTTAAAATGTCATTTCTTTTCTTTACCTATATATAATAAGAAAATACTCTTAGAAATGTTTACATAAATATACTGAAAGAACACGCGTAATTTGAGCTCATTGACGTCAACGGTTAGCTACAAGTTCATCACATTAGTTGTATTTTTTCTGCCTTTGTTTTATTTCATGTCACGACTCACTATTTACTACATTCCGTTCGCATGCGAACTTCTGCACATTGCCCAAGTCTGTACATAGAGGTATTGATAGGGTATATATAGGGCCAAATCTGTACATAGAGGTATTGATAGGGTATAATATATAGGGCAATATCGCTGAAAGGGTCAGTCGGTCTAATCGTCGAGCGCTGATCGAAAGTCACCGCACACATACCGCTTCATCATCGCGCATTAGTATCCATTCTCTTTCTTCCGTCATTGAGGTGTGATTTGTCTTTTCAGTGATATTGGTCAGTTGGCAGTTCACAACATTCATCTTGTCTCTGTAGTTGAATCCAACACAACCTGGTTCTTTCTGACAGTGCTCGTGACATTCTAACGAGACAATCCCACGTTTAATGGTATGATTTGATATGGTTTCATCTGGAGATAAAGACAGACCACCTAAAAAGAGGTTAAGAAATACTTAAATATTTAAAGAAATAAATTTTTCTCAACACTACGAAAATGACGAAGAGAAAAAGTCTGACGACTCACCTGTTGCAATGATCGTATAAATCACGGGAGAACAGTTCTGTGGAATGATGTATGCAACTTGAAGAATCAGAGAAAGTAAAGTTATTATCTTAAACATGATTGCGTGAGGTCGTCAACTGTGCTCTCTTCGACATGCAGTTGTTTTAATGACGCTTAGTCACAAGAGCAGGGGCCGGTTGTATCAAGCCCGTTTAGCTTAAACGGTGGATAAGTCAAAATTAAATAACACTCTTACATCTGCCTTAAATGAGTTAACTTGAATATTATGCACTAAATATGTAGTTGTAAACAGTATCTTTGCATTAAGGTTAAAAACATTTAGTTCGCTTGTTGAATAAAACGATAGACTTGCTTTCTATTTTGAACTTAACCACCGTTTAAGCTAAACGGGCTTGATACAATCGGCCCCAGGTGATAAAACACTTGTATAAGTAACATGACGTCGCGTGAAATGAGCGTATGCAGGCGATGCAACAAACTAAACTATTTAATAACCTACTTCAGTCAAACATATAGAGTGTAAAATATTATATATGATACAGGGTTTAAGAGCGTCCCAGAAGCCGTAAAGCTGTACACAGTAAATGCTATACAAACAGCAGGGGCACCGGAAGCAGTTTAGGGCGGCGGGGGCAGAGTTTTAGAAAAGGGCACATTCATTTTATCTTAGCAACCACACAAAGAGGAAACTCAAATTTACAAGTACATGCGAACTTGCAAATCCACGGGAGAACGCATTTTCAATAATATTACGGTTAGTTTTTATGCAAAAAGTAGGCATCATGATTAAATGTTGAATTTATGATACTTTTATATGGTTGTAAAGGGCACAGGGCTGCCCCCGCTCGCCCCCGTAAGCAAAGGGCAGGGGGGGCAGCTGCCCCCGCTGCCCCCGTGGTTCCGGCGCCCCTGACAAACAGTATGGACCACAAACGTATTGAGCCCGGCTGAAAAACTTCGAAACCATTCTTAATTAACCACCATTGTGAGGATTTCAGTATTATTGTTTTATTCGTGTAATTCAGTACGTATATTTCATAGTTAAAGTTTAAGACGTTGTACTATTTAAAACATGCGAAAGAGTGTTTTATCATATTTAAAACGCGAGTTTAAGTTCAAGTTTTCAAATTAAAGATTTTACGATTCACGACGCGGTCAGCTCGACAACGCGCTTGCAAAACAAAGAAATTGCGCACGCGAGACAATAGGTGTGCACAATTTGTGGTCCCATGACAGCTGTCATTCTTACGACGCCTTCAAATGAGTCATTTTCACGGCCTCTCGATGACATGAAAGCAGCAAGAACGTGATAGCTGTTTACAGCTTATATAAAACTGCAATATCAGCCAAATGTCGGAGGTTCTTGGTACATTTGAAACTTTGGAATGTTGCATGACTTATTGCAAAGTCCGGCAGCATAATTAATTCCCCGAAGCTTATCTCTAACAATGACGTGATCAGTGACGTCGAGCTAACCACGTCGTAAACTCGTTATTCGTCAAGCAATAAATTTGCTCCATGACCATGTGTGCAATGCTATGAAATAAAGGTTATTTCGAATAGATTCATTGTGTTGCTGAAAATTTTTGACAAAACACAATCAAGTTTTAACTGTATATTTCGATTCAACTCTGAATCATCTTCAGGGGATAAAAATTTTATAAGATACGAAGTTGGCATATTTACAAATTTGATTGACGTGCGCTATGACGCCATAGATATCTATGAATGACGCCAACGCAATTAATAACAACGCTACAACTTAAATTTAGGTTACACTTTACAGTCAGTAATGTAAACAAACGCGTTGTTTACATATTGCATCGTTATATCTCTTAAAATATCCTTTCCTCTCAGGATATTTATTACCATTTTAGTTTACCATGTTCCAAGATGAATAAGATGCTCCAAGAAATTCAAAACATGCGAAATTTGGGCGATTTCTAAATCATGGAGTCCCCCAAAGTTAAGAACAGAACGATGCGTAGCTCTCTTTTTGCTTTTAATCCTTCGTTCATTTCATGCTTGCATCTCTTTATATGCTCCTTTATACAGTAATATATTCCAGTTATGAGAAAAGTCTGTGTTAACATTATATGAAGAATACTAATAAACGTGACAAATTATATAATGTGCCATTTTTCGTTGCACTTTACCACGTATAAAGCAACCACATGTGACTTCTTAGGTTAACATTGTCCGGTTATATAAATTAAATTGTAAAATTTATGCATTCTGATTGGGTTATACTGAAAATGTAAACAAACTTGCTGATTAGTCTAAAACGAAATTCCCCCTTGTTGCCGGGTCAATATTTGCTTCATTTGCTTAGTACAAAGTTACGGATCTACCCATGCAACACCTGACTGACAATGTTAGCGCCAAAGAAAAGGGTAGCTTTGCGATTACCCTATCACATAAGGCCAGTTTACAATTTTTGCTACGATCTTATATGCAATTTGCTTCTTTTGATAGATGTGAACGAGTGAGTTATAGTTACCATTGTTCAAATAAGAGTTCTTATACCTCAGAGCATTCGTAACTAATTACTCATACACATCCATCAAAAGAGGCTGTGTTGCAACTGTAAACGGGGTTTAAAAGGCCTCCCTGTAAATTTAGCGCGACAAACTTGCAATCAATTTGTTATTATGGTCCCTTTAAATAACAAGTACGATCGTACTATAGGGACCAGGAACTGCGTAACCGAGTTTAATTTCTGAACTGCATTGTATTTATAACAATGGAGAGGACAATGTATTTCTAATCGTTTCCGTTTACTTATATATAGGCTGAATATCAATGATATGTATGTATTATTTGCTGCAAATATATCAAGAATTGCTTGTAACTTGCTTCAAAGGTCAAAAGTTAAAATTCGAACTCCGTCAATCGATGCGGAATATTGCTTAGAATAATTGTGCCAAGTTTCATTCCGATCAAACAAGTTATGATAGAGCCTTAGGGTTTTTTTAAAGAGCCTCGCCCCCTAACAACAACAACAACAACAACAACAACAACAACAAGATGATTAGCACCGGTTAAGGACCAGTTCCTGGTCCAAAAATTAGTGGGCTTAATAAAGTGTAGATATCGGTAATAAAAATCATTTGTGGGTACAAACAAATTTTACTGGCATTGTGCATCAAAATTCTTATGTCGTCTGTCTGCCCGCAAACTAGTGATGTTGCAAAAGCTGGAAAAGAGGGGTAAAAATGATGACGTAATAAAAGGACAGAAGGAAGGAAGGAAGAAAGAAAGCGTTTTTAATCAAAATATTCTTTTTTTGGAGCGGAAAGTAGTTTTAGTGCGGCCACTATTTAAGCCTGAAAATCCTAAAGCTTTGCATACCTGAATAACTTACCTTCCATCTCTTCTTCATCCGTTACGACAAACATGTCAATCAACAGCTAAAGGCTTATTGTATTATCTATCGTAATAATTATTGAGAAATTATGCTCGTCGATCAAGTGATTCGCGCACAATAACGCCTTAATGTTTGATTTTCTTTTTTGTATACACCCTGTATAGAACGAAGTCGACGAAACGACCATGATCAAATATATTGCGTCAAACTGGTGAGGTGTAAAGCGTCTGGTCTCTATAGCAGACTAGCAGTCAGAGACGTCGAGGAATCCGGCCATCAGATTGGTGGAATGTGTTCAGAAAGAACTTCTCATCAGGCCTTCTAAAAGCCGAATATGGTCAGTATTCTTTATCATATATATAATTATTACTATATGTTTACCATATCACAGCAAAATCGTGATTCTTATATTAAGAAAAAAAAACTTGTTTAAAGCAAAAAATTGCTTGAAACAAGTAAAATTGTTCTTGTCGGTATAGTAAGAATAATACACTTACCTAGAATCTTATTTTAAGTAAAAAAAATCCGCAATAATCCACAGTTCTTTACGCTAGTTGGCAGTCACCGGATTTAAAATATCTATTTTCATAATAAACAAACTACGTCCATTAAGAATGTTTAAATAGGCATTAAAACCTTCATTTCGTCTGCATCTGAAAGGAAAGATATAAACAAATAACAAATATTTTGGAAAAGAACGCTAAATGCTCCTTACTTGCGAATCTTTGCTCGGTTATTAAATGTTTTTTAGTAAGAATATGAAAATATTCTTGCGTGTTTGAAATAAATGTGAGGCGGCTTTCAAGATGCTTTGGATATCATAAGGAAACTAGCATTCTTGACAGGTGAATCAAAATACTTTTTTAATGTCGGTTTTAAGTTAACTATGTTTCTCGTCAAGAATCCAAAAAGACGCTTTGCTTGTTTTAAAAATACCAAAATTCTTAGTGAGAATACAAGCAAGAACATTTACTTGTTTTAAGAAACTGTTAATTCTTAATTAGAAAGAGTTTACTTATTTCAAGTAAAATTCATTCTTGATAAGAATAATTTATGCCCTTTTATTTATTTTAAGCAAAAGTTTGCTTAAAATAAGAATTTCTCAAGAACTTTATTCTAGAATTCTCGATTTTGCGGTATATTTAGTATGCGTTTTAAGATATAGTTTATGTGCTTCCTCAATTTGCTCACAAAACCGTTTTTATCAACAAACGGCAGTCACGCAGTGGATCAGTGGGTTCTCAGTGCCGTCTCCCTAATATAAACTGCCTCCCCAATAGATTAAAATATTATTTTATAATAGTATAAAACTTTGACTGCAAAATAGTCAACATATTACTTGGTTCATATAGTAAATTAATCAAAATTTAGTCGGTTGCAGAAAAATTGTATTACAAACAGGCATTAGTTGCATACGTTTGGCTCTAGGGTGTAAGGGGGATAGGCAGGTAAAGTAGAGAGATTATTTGAAGGCATAAAATACAGTGTAATTACTGCCCCCCATGTCCAAAGTATCTGGATTGTGGCAGGATTTTTTTTCCGAAGTGGAAAAGCTGTTCTGGTGCGAATGTTGTACGTATTCTAATCAATTCGACTCCTCCCGGAGGACCAATGGTTGACACAATTTTCTTATTTTTTTCTGATGTGGTGATATCGACTCGAAACCATGCCATCATTGCCATGCATCATGGTAGCAACATCATTGTACTGCTTAAACATCGTTATACCTTGGACATATCTTCCTCGCGGAGTTGAATAGTTGGTCTGTATTCTTCCATGTACCTCATGGGAAAAAGAAACTTTGCTACAACCTCGTCTTGACGACGAGGTTGACTTTGCCAAATGCTTTTTAATTTCTGCTAATATTCTTCCCGATTTTTCCACTTTAGAGGTTTCCACTTTGGTGGAAATATTCCGAAATCAAGGAATTTCCTTCGACGTAAAAACATTGTCAAAGGGATATTAAATCCGACATTATTAAATCATTTTCATCGCGACAACAGCTGGGTATTTTGTTGTCGCTGTCTAAAAATTGCGGGCGCATTTCTTCAAGAAGAATTTTAATTCTTCGAACGCCAAAAACATGTATTTTGAGGAGCTTTTTCTCCTTTTTTACTGGTTTGTTCATGGAAATAAAAGGGTGTATTCAAAGATTACGTTCCCGTGCTTGCATGCAAGGGTATAACGACATTCTCGCGTAAATATTTGCGAAGGATTTTTATTTGCAAATGGGCGACAAGTTGAAGTATTTCACTCATTGTCTAAGTTTCAGGACCAGGTTACAGCAGTATGTAAACAACGAATTACCCCTATTTTACTCTTGACAGAAGCTGACATATTGTTGTTTCCACATGTGTGTTCATTAATCTATTTGTCCCTTCTCACGCGAAATAATAAGTACCTTAACATGCATTTTTCTATAGAAATAACACCTTTTCCTCTTTCGATTTCGTGAAAACTGACCTTTGCCTTCAGTTATAAAGTATATTTTATGAAAGTTAAATCATGTTTTGTTTTATTGAAACATTAGCCACTCATGGGAAAAATGCTCCAGATGTTGTAATTTCACAAACCACTTATGCTCTGAAAATGCCATGTTGTAACATACTTACGAACTTCCTTCTGTATGAGTTTGTTATGATGTAAAAATTGCTGCAAAAGTGATTTTAATATGTCTAAGTATTGGTTGTTATGAATTATGAAAAGTCCTATTGAGTTGGTAAGTTTTAAGAATCTAACCGCAAACTTTAATATGGGCATGCTTGCTTTGTGAAATTATGTGATGCTGTAGCACATATATAAAAATATTTTAAAATTTTTACCAGTGCCTCTCTCCGAAACATGGCTTAAAATTATCCATATTGTTCAAACTTCATAAAAAAGTTAGTGGGCATGCTGAGAAAAATGCGCACAATACTTATTTTTGTCTGTAAACAAACATATAAATTAGCCTGTGGGATATGTTACTTCCTATTTCTGATCATTTAACTAGAGTATAATAAAATTGTTTGAGCAAAAATTTAGTATAACATTGCTTGCATCAAAATACAATAATGGGGAATCTTTAGAACCTTTCATTTTCCTAAAGGCCCTGTCACACTGTTGCGTATCACATTAGCGTATGGCAGCGTATGATAAATATCACGCATACGCCGGAATACGCTGAAATATGCTGGTAGTACGTCGTGCGTAAGTTATACACGTTCCGAGCACGGTCACATACGCTGGTATACGCCGAGAAAGAAAATTTTTTTTAAGCATGCTTAAAAATCTTGTGCGTGTTTGGACGTATGGTTTATACGGTAAAGATAAGCTAGTCATACGCTGAATACGGCAGAAGGACGCTAAATGTACTGTATTAATAGGTTGAGTACGCTAATCATACGCAAATGAGTAAGTGTGCCGTACAACTAACGTGTTGATAGCGCATCAGTAACGAAGGTCTAACTTATGTGTGACGTATGTTTAACGTCTATAGAGGGCTTAGCGTATGACTGACGATTAAGTAACGCATTTACCGTACAATTAGCGTATATTTAACGCCTGGTCGTCGTATCTTCAGCGTATTGCAAACGTTACGAGAAAGGGTATTATTATAAATATTATAGCATGTCATTTTTTGTCTATAATATATATTTATGTTGGATGCCTTCATATCATCTTGTACCTTCGAGGATAAAGGATGGAGTTAGTTGTTCTTGAATACCAGTTTGATCTCATAGCTTTGACGATTCGTCACATAGAAAATAACAGAAGGAAAAGGAGAAAAAGAAAAAGAAAAAGAAAAAGACGTGAGGTATGGATGAGATCATGGATCGGAAGGCGAAGGCAGTTTGGCATTTACGACCAACTTCTGGTGGAACTCCGAAGCGAGGATACGCGATGTTTCAAGAACTTTATGCGGATGGTCCCCGAGATGTTTGATGAGCTTCTAGCAAGAGTGAGTCCCTGCAGGATCACCAAGAAACATACCTGGTATAGGCGACCCCTAGAGCCTGGGCTGAAGCTCTCTTTGACTTTGCGACACCTTGCCTCTGGGAGCACGTATTCAGCCATGAAGTACGGATGGAGGGTCCCCCACAACACCCAGTCACTTATTGTCAGAGAGGTTTGCCAAGCCATCATCGACGAATACATGTCCGAAGTAATGACCTGCCCTACCACGCCAGAGGGATGGCGTGCCATATCTGATAAGTTCCTCAAGAGGTGGAACTTCTTGTGGTGCTATAGATGGAAAGCACATTGCCTGCAAATGTCCACCAAAAAGTGGATCCCAATATTTCAACTAAAAGGGACTCTACTCTGTTGTACTCATGGGCCTTGTAGACGCAGATTATAAATTCATCTGGGCAGACCTCGGTGGTAAAGGGTCATCATCGGACGCACAGATCTACAACAACTCTGAAATCAAAGAATTAACAGAAGACGGAACTATAGGATTCCCCATCCCCGATGCTTTACCAAATGACTATCAGAGTGTCCCCTACTTCTTTCTAGGTGACGATGCCTTTGCCCTCCGAGAGACAATGATGAAGCCATACAGCCGCCGTGGTCTATAGTCAATACTTCTTTCACGTTGGTGGTTGAAGGTTGAGAACCTCATCCTGAAATCCAATATCATCAGTAGATTCCATGATGTCTCGAAATCCTGAAAGACTAGTAATGTTGGGTGACTTTGTAGTGGGGTGCAAATCGTGGGGTGGTTGAGAAGGGATCCCTTGTTGGTTCACTTTGATAGATGGAGCCGCCATTGCACTTGGAAATTCATCATCGCTGTCCTCATCCTTGAGTTCAGACAATAACCTATTGATGGAGGACCTTGCCTTCTTGTACTTGGACTTGGACATAGTCAAAAGGCTCTCTTTAACATAATTTGCAAAGACACTTCGTGCTGTAATGGGCTGTTGTTTAGCTTTGTAGATATCTTTGAGGATGGTGCCAGACTCAGCAAGACAGCAACTCTCTTCTGTAGAGTCTCAAGGACGTCACTCTCTGTGTCCTGAGGTCGCTTGTGGGACCTTCCAGCGGTAGATGATGGTATTGGAGTGACTTCATCTAAGACATCTTGCATATCAGCGCAGGCGCTCTTGGCAGCATTGAGATCTTCTCTGTGAAGCTGGATGGTTTCCTTCACCTAAAAAAACCAAAAATCATGTGGAAATTGTCTCAAATTACTTGGTTATCATGTTGCTAAGGTAATATGGTTGTATACTTACACTCTGCATGGGCGCTCCGGTCGGTGGCGAGTGACAGTCTTCAGGAAGGCAAACTTTGAGAGGATCCACTGTTCTCTCTTAGTCAGGTTTGGAGCAGTATCCCCGCTTTTCTTTTTGTCAAGGCGCGTATTGGTGTCGCGCAGCGATCTGAACCAGCCCTTGAGGATGTCAACAGTCTTATTCATCTGATGTACTTGCTCTTCCCAGATCTTCTCTTTCTTGTCTTTTCGCCTATAATCTGTCATCTTCACATTCCACAGCAAAGGATTGTCCATGATAAACTCCAGCATCAGCTCCTCTTCTGTGGCGCTGTGGTTGTAGGGTTTTTTTTTCGCCCTCTTCCTCTTATTTTTCTCCTTGCTATCAGCCCGCCGGAAGGAAGTGAAGTCATCAATGGTTTCAGATGATAAAGCCGATGAATTATGGGAGTCTTGGGAAGGTTGTGTTGGAGATTTTGAGAGCTCAGGAACATGTCGCGCATTATTTAAAGATGTCTCAGGAATAAGTGCATCATGATCAGGTGGTTCAACTACATCTGCAGGTGCACAAACACGTTGTTCGTCAGCTTTGGCAACGGCTGATGATGGAGTCCTCTTTCCTTTTCTTCGTCCGCGGGTAGATGATGTCTTCGTATTTGCCATGGTTTCTTCTTCTTTTTTCACTGTAGGTTTGACATTTTCTCGAATGGAGGCGTGTGAAAATACTGCCGCTTATATACAATTAAAGCCTGTGAAACGCCATTGGTATGCTTGACATGCGCATTTCAAACGCTTCTCGTAAGCCATTCATACGCTGGCATACGCCAGCGACAGGCTACTCATACGATACTCATACGTTTAATAAGTTAATTTTATGCAAAATATCCTATTTTTACAGACTTTTTCGTGCGTATAAAAATGAATGAAACGATCTTTATACGCGACTCATACGTTCCTATTATACGCAACAGTGTGACAGGGCCTTAAGGGAGGTGGAAATATATATGTTTGAGCTCAATTTGGCCTGAGACTGTTGCTATAGCTGTCCATATTTCACTTTATTTTATAAAAATTATTAAATAAATGATGTAGAGGAGTCGAGATTGTTTGCATAGCACAGTTGTATATATTTTATAAATTGATTAATATGGAAAGATCAACATCTGATAAAATGAACATAACTATTTTGGTTTCAATACTCTCATGCCATAGTTCCACTGTGAAGATTCTGGTGGCTTTTTTAAGTTAATGTCCAGCTGAAAGCTGACAAATGACTGAAAGCTTCCTGCAATAAATGCTTCCTTAACTGCTAACTAAACAACGACGACCACGTTGTGACTGAAATTCTTAATTTCCACACGAAAGTGACGAACAAAGTTGTGAGTGTGACAAACCAACATATTGTTTGCCAATTTAGATCATTCGGATGCTTTCTCAATGCCATGTTTTGTACCACAAGATACAACAAAACCAGCAGTTACACGTACATGATATTCTTCTTTTCGTAAAGTGCCGAATTCTTTCTTTTACTGCAAAAGATATTCAACTATCTTCACTCCTATCAGCCGCCATTATTTAAGAGGTCTTTCCGAAAACTACGAAGGCGTTTCGTGTGCGTGGATGCCAAGTTCGCGCATGCTCCGTACAAAATGCCCAGCTGTTCATCGCGACATGATTTAGGCAAAAGACGCTGATAAGGTTAAGATAAGGTTTGGATAATTTTTTTATATATTTTTAATAAGACACGCTTATACTCGTTATCTTGAATCATTCTTGATTCCCAGATTTTCAGAAGAGTGTTTTTCATCATGGTGTCATTTGTGTGAAAATTTGTGTCATTTTTTTCACATATTTGCGCATGTCTTATGGAATCAGTTTTTCTTTGCGATGCCTGATTGTGGATTAATTTATTTATTAAAAACAACTAAAACATAAAATTACAGCTTAACTAATTAATAAATTACTGAATAGTTCATGTAAAATTGTAAATGCTGTATACATTTTACCCGGGCAGTGCTGAATATTTATGCATTCTTATTGGGTAAAACGTAAACAAATTTCCTGACTAGTTAAAGCGAAACTCCTTCTTGTTGCACAGGCTAACTCCCGAAAACTCCTATATTACATTATTATCTCTGTATCATAATTCAATCACAAAGTAATAAGTGCGTATGAATGTTCATTTCTTGATGTCCATGCATGTTAAAACTAGTTTGGATGAATTTTCATCTCCGTTTTTTTCATTGAGTCGGATTTCCATTGGTTCCATTTTATTCCGCTGCTACTAGTCTGACCTGCACCTAGGTACTGGCCATTGAGGTTGGAATGATGACAGTTGTTGTACCACCAAGCTCCCTTGAAGCTCATAGCACAGTTACTACCAGAACGTTTATCACTGTCGCTATCCTTAGTAGTGAACTGCATTTTATCATGATAATCCAGTGAATCCTTTGCATTCCCTGAAAGTTATGTGTACAATTTTCAAGCACGATATCTTATTAGCATAAACATTACGTTAAAGATAGATCCGATAACATACTGAAATGGCTTGACCAGTGAACCTTCCTACGCACAATCAGTTAAACCATAAAACCTGCTTTCGGTTTTCGCAAAGAAAATTTCGTTCCAAAAAATGCGCCAAAATTTTCTCCGCATAGTGCAGTACACGCTCTTAAAGTATGCCTAAATGGAAAGTGAAAAACATAATTTCTCAGAATGTTTATAGTATTCCAGCCCTCCTTTCTCTTTACGCATTTTAAACATTAATATACCATCACCAGAATTTTGGGGCAAAATTTGAAAGCAATCATTGCTCGTAGCGGCAGGATTCTCACAAGACAATCAAATTTTCTGTTAACTCATGTAGGTTTCGTTTACCTGAATAACTGCCAATATTCAATTTGTATTTGTCTGATTCATCAGCCACACTAAACGTTCCATATTTAGCGTAACGTTTATTGCCATTGAAATCCATCAAATCAATTCTTAGAACATTTTGACCAGATTTCCACAAACGATGTATTTTATCAAGGCCCAGCCAGAACTCGCCGTTAAGATCACCAAATCCTGCTTTATAGTGTGACCATCCAAGGTAGAAATCTTGACTTCCATCTTGTCTTCTTTGGAACACCGTCCAGCCACCTCCGTCTGTGCTCATATCACATCTGACTTGGAACGATCCCTGGTTGTCAGGATTGATGGTATAAACACCATCTGTTCTCACTCCTTTGTTATACAGATCTGCACAGCTGGAGCCGGTAGCTATAAAATTGTACAATGTTTAGGAAAATGCAGTAAAATATTAAGGTGTTGGAATAATCCGTTGCATGCTTATGCTTTTTCCTCTGCAGAAGATTATGCAGAAGATATTCGAAGTCCTCTTTAAAGCTATAAAATCCTCCTCACTAACGAAATAACTCACTTTCATCTCGCAGTTTCAACTGCAATACATGAACCGCATTATAGTACTATGACCTATAATTGCTTCATTTAATATGGCGAATCAGGTGACAGTAATCGGTTATAATCAACTCATTCGCTTTTGTTAAAATTTAATGGGGATTTTTGCTACACTCAAATTTATATCTTCCTCTATATATTTGATTTTGCGGCAAACCTGAATTGTCATTTCTCCATTGTTCCATATTCTTTGCCTGATAAAGATGATTTAGAAATATTTAGATGAAATACGCGGAACGAGTGGGCATGTCGAAAATTCCCTGTGGGTTTACAAGCTCATCACCAGAGTTGTGTTCTTTGTTGCCCCTGTTAAAAAGTTTTCGTCCATTTACCTATTCATACATTTCTTATGACCAAATTCGAACAACTCGTTTTAGTCAGTAATTTTAGGCATCTGAAAATTTCAATAACATACCGCTTCGTCATCGAGCATAAGTGTCCATTCTTCAGTCATTGCGGTGTGATTTCTTTTTCTTGTGATATTCGTCAGTTGGCAGTTCACAACATTAATCACATCTCTGTAGTTAAATCCGATACATTTTGGTGCTTTTTGGCAGAGCTCAAGACACTCTACCTGGACAAAGCTTGAGTTGACGGTATGATTTGATATAATTTCATTTGGGGGCAAAGAAGAACCTCCTAAAAATAGCCAATTGATATGGTCGCGGAATGTTCAAACAAGAAGTGTTTTAAATTGTAGGAACATGAAATACACGTAGATGACCTACCTATTCTAGCAGCATTGTAAACCCTGGTAAAACAGTTCTGTGAAATGATACATGCGATTTTAATCATCAGCAAGATTAAAGTTGTTATCTTAAACATGATTACAGGAATATAAAGTCGGTATAAATGTGCTGTATCCAACATGTAGTTGCTGAAATAAAGCATTATCCATGAAGCAGGTGGAAAAAAGGTGCCTGCTGTTCCGTCTTACATGAATTTAAAGCAATTTCTTTCGGACTGTTCACGCAGTGATAATTATAATTAATGCTTTGATTAATGCTTAGTCTCGTATTTGTCTTCCTGCGTGATATCCCTAACTTTGTTGACTGAATAAATTGTGCAAAATTATTTCAAGGCACAATTATGCAACAATCAAAGCTTTATCCAAAATTATATTCTTCAATAAATTTAAGCGTATATTTTTATCTGCATGGCATTTATATTGTTGGCCCTTTTCAATTCGAGATTTTCAGCACCGAGTTTTTTTCTGCCGATCATCCTTTTCAGAGTGCAATTACACGCTTTCGATTAAGGCTCGTTGGGAGGCAATAAAATCGGTTTCTTTGTAGAAAAAATGAATTTCTTTTTGGCTAATTATTAGATGAAAATTATTAAAATGAGCAATAAAATGTAACTGAAGTTGTTTGTTGATTGGATAAACATATTATAGACATCAGCAATTGACTTTCATAGCAACATGACATTTAGAGCCGTGCACATATAAAATGATGTATGTTTCTGATTTTCTCCAGAGCTAGATGCTAAATATTTGGCCGATCATCTTCTATAAGAGGGCGTGAGCATTAGCGGATTCAGGGTTAGGCAGAATAAATTACTACCGCTCAAAATCGTAATCGCATTGGTAGATTTTTATTTAAAAATATTCTTTAGAAATCCATGACCAATTGCGTTGTTATTAAGGTATTTTGAATTTAAAATTAAGCCTTTTAATTATTCTGCCTGACCCTAGATCCGCCATTGGGCGTGAGCCAGGTTTGAATGAGTCATGCGATCATTCAACCACAAATAATATCTTATGAATATTATAATTATTGTTATCGTCGAACATTCGGCATAAACAAAGGATCATCGTCAATGTGTCAAAGCTTTCCGTATTTTTCTTCTCGTCCTTTTTAGACATTCTCATGCTTTTTCCCCTTATAATGCAACAGAAACATCACGTTTAATTTGAGCAAACGTTGAATACAATGAATATAACTAATTAATTTTTTTTATTTCATGGTCCGCCCACATCCGTTGTAAATTATTTTCATAAAATGAAAAATTAGAATAAAAAATAATTGGGCTATTGAAACTTTATTAAACAGACCTGCAGATTTAGAAAGCAAGTTAGTGTATATTTTATACCATGCCTTTGTCCTATGTAGTAAAATTACTACAATTATTTAATAATAAAATGCAATAGAAAAACGGGTATACTGTAAGAATAAATAGGTTAGGAAGAAATATTAAAGTTATACAGAAATATATTTATATAAGAAGCGCTATTGTAGTAGGAAGTGTACTTTCTTTAAGATGGGATGAGATGATGATGAAATGTAGTTCTTCGACACGGATTGATTAGCAATTATTGAATAAAGGTGAATATAAAAAACTGTCAAGATATAAAAAACTGTCAAAGCCGAAATTTGAAAATCCTTCACATCATGTTAAAGCGATTACTAACTTAATATTAATTTCAAAGAATAAACATTACAACTTTGTATGTATGGTACTACTCAGAAGTCAGAATAGCATTATCACAATATTAGTTTACACAACTGAGTCATAATTATTCACCATCACGATCGCTTGCGTAGACTTGGAAAGGACTAGAATTAGCCTTTCTCACGATGACGAAAATGCCGCCATTTTTGGGGTATTTTTTTCAAAACCGAGAGCCTAAGACCTCGTAACGGGGACATCTTTAAATATAGGCTGAATTTATTCTTTACATGGTCTGTTAATTCTAAAAAAATGCTTTTCATGTTGTTATAATTTTTTAAACCCATTTGAGAAAGTTGAAACTATCCCAAAAACGCGTCATCGTGAGAAAGGCTAATTGCGTTCCGAAATGGTAACTTACTTTAAAACGGTCTTCACCTAGGAAGAGGATTGGCCTAGGAAACCAAAGGTTGAGGGAGTGATCCCGACCGTGGTCAAGCTTATTTTTTTAGCTCGGCCAGTTGATAACTAAGTGTAGCATCATCACAATATTTAGAACTTCGATCGCTCGCGCTTGTGTTGTTTTACATTCCGCTTCTTTGGAGCACCTTGGAACATCTTTTATAGACAACGATCATTATAACGGCTCATAAAATTAGTTCAGAAACAGTCTATGATGCTCATACATGAAAATAATTATATTGTTATGTTAATGCTATATCATTATATTAATTTAATCACGAGAACAGCAAGTGAATGTTCGTTTCTCATTTGTTGTATCATCTTAAAAGTGGTTTGGACGAATTTTCAATTCCACCTTTTTCATTGAAAGATTTTTCCACTTGTGCCATTTTATTCCGGCGGCATTAGTCTGACCCGCACCCAGGTACAGGCCATTGAGATTGCAAGAATGACAGTTCTTGTACCACCAAGCTCCTTTCCACGTTTTAGCACAATTATCAGAACTAATATCATTGTCGCTATCCTTGGTTGTGAACTGCATTGTATTGTGAAAAGCAAGAGAGTCACCTGTGTCACCTTAAAAAATATACAAATATACAACTAATATGTTCAGTTCCTTTTTTTACACCTCCGGGAAAGTGGGGAAACAACTAGGTTTTTGTATCGACTGTTGGGAGTCTTGTTTTAGCTAGGCTCTGAAATTTGGATCAAATTAACATTTTGAGAGTGATAGTATAGATAAGGCGAAGACCTAAACCAGGCGAATGCGAAACGTAAGAACTATTAACTCATGAATAAATCACATTTGCAGAAAAAAGAAACGAATTTAAAATTTCCTCTGAACAACTTTTCATTCAAACACTGGGTTGTTCTCCCCAAGACTGGCAAATGAGGCGGCTGTGAGGAAGTGGAACATCCGATGTGCAATAAATCCTTGGCATGACGAAACCTGGGAAGGTAAAGGGCGGGGCAAAATGATGAAGTAATTTAAAAAATTAGGGAACAGAGGAGGCGTTCTTAAATCAAAACATTCGTTAAACCCTTGTTCAAAGAAGAAAATATTTTCATGTCGGCCACCTTCCAATATAGGCGCTGTAACACTTAAAAATCATGAAACTTCGCATACCTGAATAAATGCCAATATTCAATCTGTATTTGTCTAATTCATCAGCCACACTAAACGTTCCATATTTAGCATAAGCCTCAGCGCCATTGAAATCCATCAAATCAACTCTTAGAACATTTTGACCAGATTTCCACAAACGATGTATTTTATCAAGGCCCAACCAGAACTCGCCGCTAAGATCACCAAAGCCTACTTTATAGTCTGACCATCCAAGGTAGAAATCTTGACTTCCATCTTGTCTTCTTTGAAACACGGTCCAGCCACCCCCGTCTATGCTCATATCACATCTGACTTGAAACGATCCCTTGCCATCAGGATCGATGGTATAAACACCATCTTTTCTCTCCCCTTTGTTATACAGATGTGAACAGCTGGAGCCGGTACCTATAAAATTGTAACATGCATTTAGGAAAATATTATGACTCGTGATGTTTTACTCGTATTATTAATGACTAGTATACTAATAATCCCGAATTGTACTCGACATCGCACGATTACCTAAAATTATCATCTCATTTATCTTATTTATACGTGGTTAACTGAAACAAAATTAATCGTCGGTACAGCTGGCTATAAAATTGTGAAATTATCGAGAATAAGTTTGTAAGTTATCTATGCGTATAAGCTACGCAATTAAGCTCTGTAATATTTTATTTATCTTATTCAAATAAGGTCTTCAAAGCATGCAGCTTGCTCGCTTGCACATTTTGTGCCGATCTGTTATTATTGATAAGTTCATTTGAGCAGCACTTTTTACCACCATTCTACTCGTTATCTAGATTCTCAAGAAGCTTTACTGCCATAGAAATACTTTTATAATTAGAAGTCTTTTGGTACATCAGTTTTAAAATTGTCTAATGAAATCTTTTTTTCGTAAAGAACATTGCATTGTTTGCATGCTGTCGTACTGTATATGAATTTTTAGTTTAGGAGGCGAAAGACAGTTTGTGCATGATCATTCATGTAGCACCAGATTCATTTTTGCAATTCAAAACTTTAGATGTTACTACGTCGTAGCTATACAATGCATAATCAAGGCTTTTTATGGCATATTTGTTTTACCTAAATTCATATATACCGCTTCATCGTCGACCATTAGTATCCATTCTCCTTCTCCAGTCATTACGGTGTGATCTCTTCTTTTAGTGATATTGGTCAGTTGGCAGTTCACAACATTGAGCTTGTCTCTGTAGTTGTATCCAAAACACCCCGGTACTTTCTGACAGAGTTCGTAGCATTCTATCGGGACAATCCCTGATTTGATGGTATGACTTGATATGATTTCATCTAGAAGTAAAGACGATCCTTCTAAAAGTAGGCAATATAATCATTTTAAGGAAAGAAAGGCTTCAACGCTGAAACTAGAAAAAAATCACCTGTTCTAATCGGGTTATAAATCCTGGGAGAACATTGCTGTGAAGAGATACATGCAATTTCGACCAGTAGTAAGATCAATGTTTTTATCTTAGGCATTATTGCACGAGGTCGTTAGCTCTGCTTTCTTTGACATGCAGTTGCTGAAATGACACTTTATCGTTACAGCAGGTGATAATAAACGTACAATGTCATAAGACTTTGCATTAAGATGCTAGCGATAATGATCATATTCCATTGCTAAAAATTAAAGGTAAATAGTTCCAAATTAAAATTTAATCTGAAAATATTGTTCGCAACCTAGGCATCTGCATCTGATAAAAAAACCAAATAGAACTGTCTGAGTGGAAACCGTTATATTTATGCCGGAAACGTTAAAATTGCAATTAAGCTCGAAAGTAAATAGAATGTTGAAATATTACTGTTAATTTACATCCCATCCACATTTATTCCAGTCTGCTCGTGTCGTTTGTTTTCGTCCATTTTCTTTAAAAGTTACCGCGATTGTTCCTTAATTAACTCTATATATATGAAGTAATATGAATAAAAACTTAAACAAATATACTGATTGGCTAAAACGAAACTCCTTCTTGTTGCACAGGCCCACTACCGCAAACTTCTCTATTACATTATTATTTCTATATCATAAATCAATCACAAAACAATAAGTTTGTACGTATGCTCATTTCTTGGTGTCCATGCATGTTAAAACTGGTTTGGATGAATTTTCATCGCCGTTTTTTTCATCGAGTTGGATTTCCATAGGTTCCATCTTATTCCGCTGCTACTAATCTCACGTGCACCCAGGTACTGGCCATTGAGATTGGAATAATGACAGTTCTTGTACCACCAAGCTCCCTTGTAGCTCGTAGCACAGTTACCAGAGCGTTTATCATTGTCGCTATCCTTAGTAGTGAACTGCATGTTATCATGATAAACCAGTGAATCCCCTGCATTGCCTGTTAAAAATAAACAAAAGTTATGTGTACAATTTTCTAGTACGATGTTTTGCGCGCATAAACATTACGTTAAAGAATCCGATAATATGCTGTTGTAGTGTATACATATGTGAAGACTTCAACAAGAAGAATGCATGAAGCAAAAAATAAAGAAACTTAACAATGAGTACACTGTTTTTAAGCCAAAATTGTAATGATAGATTCGAAGAGTTTTACCAAAATGAGGACCAGTGAATCTTCCTACGCACAATCAGTTAAAACATGAAACCTGCTTTAGGTTTTCGCAAAGAAAATCTCGTTCTAAAAGAATGCGCCAAAATTTTCTTCTAATAATGTAGTACACGCTCTTAAAGTAGGCGTATATGAAAAGTGAAAAACATAATTTCTCAGAATGATTATAGTATCCCGACCCTTCTTTCTCTTTATGCATTTCAAACTTTAATATAACTTCACCAGAATTTCGGGGCAAAATTTGAAAACAATAATTGTACGTTGTAGCAGGCTGTTCACAAAACAAATAAGTTCTCCATTTTCTGTTAATTTATGTTGGTTTCGTTTACCTGAATAACTGCCAATATTCAATCTGTATTTGTCTGATTCATCAGCCACACTAAACGTTCCATATTTAGCGTAACGTTTAGCGCCATTGAAATCCATCAAATCAACTCTTAAAACATTTTGACCAGATTTGGACAAACGATGTACTTTATCCAGGCCTAACCAGAACTCGCCGTTAAGATCACCAAAGCCTGCTTTATAGTCTGACCATCCAAGGTAGAAATCTTGACTTCCATCTTGTCTTCTTTGCAATACCGTCCAGCCTCCCCCGTCTGTGCTCATATCACAACTGACTTGAAACGATCCCAGGCCATCAGGATCGATTGTATAAACACCATTTTTTCTCTCTCCTTTGTTATACAGATGTGAACAGCTGGAGCCGGTATCTATAAAATTGTAACATGTATTTAGGAAAATATGACTCGTGATGTTTCACTCGTATTATTAATGACTAGTATGCTAATAATCCCGAATTGTACTCGACATCGCACGATTACCTGAAATTATCATCTCATTTATCTTATTTATACGTGGTTAACTGAAACAAAATTAATCGTCGGCACAGCTGGCTATAAAATTGTGAAATAATCAAGAATAAGTTTTTAAGTTATCTATGCGTAAGCTATACGCAATTAAGCTGTGTAATATTTTATTTATCTTATTCAAATAAAGTCTTCAAACCAGCTAGCTCGCTTTCAAAAGTTTGGGGCGATCCGTTATTACTGTTAAATTAATTTGAGTAGCACTTTTTACCACGTTTGTCCGCTCAAACAATCGATTTATTCACGTTATTTCTGTTTATGAAGCTACTCAGATTCTACTCGTTATCTAGATTCTCATATCTATACTTTTATAATTAGAAGTCGTTTGGTACATCAGTTTTAAAATTGTCTAATCAAATCGTTTGTTCGTAAGGAACATTGCATTATATGCATGCTCTCATTCTGTATATGAATTTTTAGTTTCGGAGGCGAAAGACAGTTTGTGCATGATCATTCATGTAGCACCAGATTCATTTTTACAATTCAAAACTTTAGATGCTACTAGGTGGCTACAATGCATAATCAAGGCTTTTTATACATATTTGTTTTACCTGAATTCATATATACCGCTTCATCGTCGACCATTAGTATCCATTCTCCTTCTCCAGTCATTACGGTGTGATCTCTTCTTTTTGTGGTATTGGTCAGTTGGCAGTTCACAACATTGAACTTGTCTCTGTAGTTGTATCCAAAACACCCTGGTTCTTTCTGACAGAGTTCGTAACATTCTATCGGGACAATCCCTGATTTGATGGTATGACTTGATATGATTTCATCTGGAAGTAAAGACGATCCTTCTAAAAGTAGGCAATATAATCATTTTAAGGAAAGAAAGGCTTCAACGCTGAAACTAGAAAAAAATCACCTGTTCTAATCGGGTTATAAATCCTGGGAGAACATTGCTTTGAAGAGATACATGCAATTTCGACCAGTAGTAAGATCAATGTTTTTATCTTCAGCATTATTGCACGAGGTCGTTAGCTCTGCTTTCTTTGACATGCAGTTGCTGAAATGACACTTTATCGTTACAGCAGGTGATAATAAACATACAATGTCATAAGACTTCGCATTAAGGTGCTAGCGATAATTATCATATTCCATTGCTAAAAATTAAAGGTAAATAGTTCCAAATTAGAAGTTCATCTGAAAATATTGTCTGCAACCTAGGCATCTGCATCTGATGAAAAAACCAATTAGAACTGTCTGAGTGTAAACGTTTATATTTATGCCGGAAACGTTAAAATTGCAATTAAGCTCGAAAGTATACAGAATGTTGAAATATTACTGTTAATTTACATCCACATGAATTCCGGTCGGCTCGTGTCGTTTGTTTTCCTTCTTTTTCTTTAAAAGTTACCGCGACTGTTCCTTAATTAACTCTATATATATGAAGTAATATGAATAAGAACGTAAACAAAATTTCCTGACTGGCTAAAACGAGACTCCTTCTTGTTGCACAGGTTCACTCCCGCAAACTCTCCTATTCCATTATTATTTCTATATCATAATTCTATCACAAAGCAATAAGTGTGTATGTATGTTCATTTCTTGGTGTCCATGCATGTTAAAACTGGTTTGGATGAATTTTCTTCTCCGTTTTTTTCATCGAGTCGGATTTCCATTGGTTCCATCTTATTCCGCTGCCACTTGTCTGACCTGCACCTAGGTACTGGCCATTGAGGTTGGAATCATGACAATGTGACAATATTTGTACCACCGAGCTCCCTTGTTGGTCGTAGCACAGTACCTAGAACGTTTATCATTGTCCTTATCCTTAGTAGTGAACTTCATGTTATCATGATAAAAATAAACAGAAAGTAATGTGTAGAATTTTCTAGTACGATGTTTTTGTGCGCATAAACATTACGTTAAAGATAAATCCGATACTGTTGATACTGTTGCAATGTATACATACGTAAAGCCTTTAACAAGGAAAATGCAAGCAGTAAAAAATAAAAAAACAATTGTAGTGATAAAATTCGGAGCGTTTTATTAAAATGAGGACCAGTGAACCTTCCTACGCACAATCAGTTGAACCATAAAACCTGCTTCCGGTTTTCCCAAGAAAATCTCGTTGCAAAAAAATGCGCCAAAATTTTCTCCTAATAGTGTAGTACACGCTCTTAAAGTAGGTGTAAATGGAAAGTGAAAAACATAATTTCTCAGAATGTTTATAGTATCCCAGCCCTCCTTTCTCTTTACGCATTTTAAACATTAATATACCTTCACCAGAATTTTGGGGCAAAATTTGAAAGCAATCATTGTTCGTAGCGGCAGGGTTCTCACGAACCAATCAAATTCTCCATTTTCTGTTAATTCATGTAGGTTTCGTTTACCTGAATAACTGCCAATATTAAATCTGTATTTGTCTGATTCATCAGCCACACTAAACGTTCCATATTTAGCGTAACGTTCAGTGCCATTGAAATCCATCAAATCAGCTCTTAGAACGTTTTGGCCAGATTTGGACAAACGATGTATTTTATCAAGGCCCAACCAGAACTCGCCAGTCAAATTACCAAAGCCTGCTTTATAGTCTGACCATCCAAAGTAGAAATCTTGACTTCCATCTTGTCTTCTTTGAGACAAGGTCCAACCTCCCCCGTCTGTGCTCATATCACATCTGACTTGAACGATCCCAGGCCATCAGGATCGATTGTATAAACACCATCTTTTCTCACTCCTTTGTTATACAGATAGGCACAGGTGGTGGCTTTAAAAATTGAAAACATGAGGGATAACTATGCCATGGCCAGAAAATTCAGACAAATTAACATTTTACTTCCGATAGTCAGTTGCATGTCAAACTATAACATCGTGATTTTATAGTAAACTGTACAATACAAAGTACTAAAACGCTGAAATCGATTGTTGGTTGTCGAAATATTTTCAATTTTCGATACCACAGAAAAAATTAATAGCTTTCAAAAGCAAATATAATATTACTTTCCTTTGCCAAGTAGTTTGGAAGGAAGATCTATGTTTTGTGCATACCTGAATTTATAGTGTCATTTCTTTTCTTAACTCCAACTGATGACGATTTGACGTCAACGGCTGACTGCAAATTCCTCTCTCGAGTCACTGCCTTCGTAAAAGAAGGTTTCATTTTATTACCGATTCACTATTCCCTGTGTTCTTTTTTTTACATACTGGCCGTGACTGTACATTACAGAGGTCGATTGGGCAGCGAAATGTTGCTAATTTTAGCCCTGATCGAAATGATCAATTATACACACATACCGCTTTATTATCGAGCATTAGTATCCATTCACCTTCTCCAGTCATTGCGGTGTGATCTGTCTTTGCAGTGATGTTGGTCAGTTGGCAGTTCACAACATTGATCTTGTCTCTGTAGTTCAATCCAACACAACCCAGTTCTTTCTGACAGTGCTCGTAACATTCAATCGCGACAATCCCATGTTTAATGGTATGGTACGATATGATTTCGTCTGGAGATAAAGACAGTCCACCTAAAATTATTGTTAAATAAGAATATTTAAAGAAATAGCTTTTAACACTTGGAAAACCTTGTCAGTGCAAGAGAAAAACTAACGACTCACCTTTTTTAACTGTAATATAAATCATGGGAGGACAGTTCAGTGAAATGATATATGCCATTTGAACACTCAGAGAGAGTAAAGTTATTATCTTAAACATGATTGCATGAGCTCCCCAACGGTGCTTCCTTCGACATGCAGTTACTGGAATAACGCTTAGTTAACAGAGCAGGTGATAGGAAACGCATAAGTCAAGTGGCGTCCATGCTACGTGCATGCACAGACTTCAGTGGATCAGAGAATATGAAATGTTTATTATTAGGTGTCAGAAGAAAGGCCTACGATATAATGGAACTTTATATTTTACGAAATACTATAGTGTAGTGCACGACCATATATAGCTAGACATATTGAGATATTACTGTTTACTTACCTTCTATAAATAAATTTTAGCCGACTCCTCCACGCTACAAAGTTACGGACCTTGCTATACAAGTTATATATATATATTGAGTTTTTTTAGGGTTAAAAAATTCAGTCCGGCAAAATGGATGTTTTCACATTAGAAATATATACACTACACGAATCGAAAAAGCTCAACTTGAAACTTGCTATTTTCCATTTTGGTAATGAGTTAAATTGGAAATTAAAATGTAGTCATATACAGTTCGAAATGTCACTGTTTGAAGAGGAAATTTGCTGAGCAATCATCTTAATTGTGGCTCGGAGACCAATAATTGACCTAATTGGTGTACACAACTCGGATTGTCTACTTTTAGCGCGATAATTATATTGCAATGACCTTGTCAAACTTTAATCTTCATAGGTTTGCGTCAATGATTCCAATGTTTCTTCTCCTATAATAGTTTTTAACAAATTTATTGCTTAAATTTAAAGTTTTCGGAACAATATTCACTTAAAAAACTTCCTAAATGATTAATAATTAAAAAAAATTGCAACGATTGCCGATTTTATTATTCCATTCAATATCATAATTTAATAAAGTTAAAGACGCATTATGGATGAATGGAAACGCACAATAGTACAGAAGCGACAGCCAGTTTGTCTCTAATTTCTGGTTATAAATTGGAATTGAATTATTGAAATGAATTGGAAATTCAAATTTAGGTACATTGAAATATTACTATTTACATATCCTCAATAATAATATAATTCAATTTTGTTGGCAAACTACGCCACGCGCGCGGCATGAAGTAGACGTAAATATTAAATATTGCCGGTTAATATTTGCTTCGTTTTCTTAGTACAAAGTTACCGATCAAAATCTAACAAAAGTTATACAAAATACAAAGTTGTTCAACATTTTGTAATATTAGCGTTGAAGGGTGGAGGGTCGCTTCGCGAGAACCTTCTGGCTTAAATGTCTCATGTTCTTGTGATATAATTCTGACGCCATGTCTCGCAACGATTTTGTTAATAAACTTTGGCGACAACGTTGTGTTTTTTTTTTCAAAGGTGATATAGTTTTTGCTTAAATTAGAAACTGTCAGAACCCTATAGACTTGAAAAACTTTCAATATCATTAATAATTAACAAAAATTGCGACAATCATTGGTTTCATTATTCCACTCAATATGTTTTATAGCCGATAAAGTTGAAGGAGCCTTATGATTTATACGTATGAATAAAATACATGCATGCACATCAATACACAAGCGATAACCATTTCGTCACTAATTTTTGGTTGTGAATAAAATTCCTTAAAGTGGAATGAAAATAAAAATATAGACAATAGTCATATTGAAATAATATTGTTATAGTGTGGCTACAAAATTAATTTTAGCTGAAGTTGCTAAATTTTACGAGTCTTTGTTTGCTTCGTACCCAGGCGCTTTAGTATTTTAAGCTTTTTACAACCTAGTCCCAGGCCTTGTAAGCGCGCGCTGCATAATATGCAGGGCAGCCCACGCAGAGAGGCCTAGCACAAAATGTTGAGATTTCAAAAATTGTCCCTGATTTTGTCCCTACAAGCAGCCTAGTCATTAGGCCTCTTATACGTTCCTTAGAACACGCGGTGAGACGGGAAATGATGGGCCTAGAACAAAATGTTTAATTTTATCTAAAGTGGGGACTTTTTGTCCCCACTTTCTGTATTGGGGTTAGTTTACAATCTACAAGGTCAGCTAAACAGTTCGACGTCGCTAGTCAAATATTTTGCTTGAAATAAGCTACGGGGAATTAATTATGCTGCCAGGACTTTGAAATATTCATACAAACGTTGCAATGTCATTC